TTGTGCCCCAATATCACGCTCACATAAGCTTCCGCGGTTGAACAATATCATCGCAATCGCTGCGCATCAGACATAGAAACCCGCAGTCCGACAGATCGCTACGGCGCAACACGCTCTGTCATTTGCTGCTGACCCGCCAAGGCAGTCGGCCACTTCAACAGTACACCCGCAACATCTGCGGCTGCTGGGAACTGTCAATGTCTGTGGCTAAGGTGTTAATCAAGAGCTTAGCCGCATACGAGCTTGGCCTCATGCGGCTTGCCCGCCCACTCGAACGCCTGGTGTAGTTCTTTGCTTGGAGCATTGGACAACAATGGTTGGACCTTATGTCAAATGGGCGCAGGCCTCGGAAATGCCGATGCGGCTACACAGATACTTGACACTACGGGTATCATTCCGTCTACCATTTCGGACTTTCGATGTTTACGTGTAAAAGCACCGAAGTCTTTTCACAATTACAACGTCAAGAACATGCAAATTCATACATTCAGTATCTACCTCCGATCGGTCCACGGCGCCATCGCTTACTGCGTCGACAACAGCGATTACATCATTAACAAAAACTCATACCGGACCCACACAAGAGTACCGGAATGCAATCTGACCACCACTTGCACATGCTTGAGCTGGAGGGCAGCGTGGAGAATTGCAGCCTCAACTGCATATGCGAATTGAATTACATGTGGAGATCCGTCTCCGATCAATCCTTGGCGCAGTGCATGCAATCTTGTTATCTTTTCCAAAAGTTCGCCTGCCACATTATAACGTGGTAATTACCACGGCACACAGCAACCCCAGATTTGTTGATACCGGCCAGATGTGGTGTTGCCATATGGCAGCACCGGCATTCAGCGATGCCTGTCATGACATTGCCGTAATTAATACAGCCCGTATGCGTGCACGTACACTGCTGGGGTGTGACATCCATGAAGTGCTTGCTGCCGCGTTGGACACCTTCCCCCTCGCCACTGGCCGCCAGTTGCATCCAAAGCGCTCAGCTGCCCAGGTGTCATGAAGTACAGGTGGCAGGTTCGCGGTATGCATTAATTCGCCAGATTATGTAGCATATAGTACTATGTTTTTGAAATACGTCTCAAAATAAATGTGGCTTAATTTTAAACTTCAAATTTTGCCAAAATGCGATTGTTATTGCATATTTAGGAGGAGAAGGCATTTTTCAGCCCTGTATTTGGGGAGTTGCTACTGGTAAGTTATACGACTTCTGCACTTCATCATTGATGGAGTCCATCGATGTCGATGATTTCGACTTTCCAGCAAATGTTTTTGTGACTTGCATCAGCGGTTTCGCTCACGCACCAAAGCATTTCGTCCCAGAAAACGATTTCAAAATTATGCAGTCTGATACCGTGGTTGATGTGCTCTTCCCTTAAGGAATTCTGATAATGCAGGTGCACGAACCCAGGACCCTTAGAACGGACAAGCGACGAATGAATCAGAATTGAGGACGCACAGAAGACCGCACAGGAAGCCTTCCCGTGCAAAAGAATCCGCCAGCATTCAATGCAATTCAGGAATAGACGAGCAGCTCGCCGCAAGGCATACCTTATGTCGTCACTGAATGGTACATAAATTTTAATCCGTAACTCTATCATCGACTTTTGACACAGCAGACATGAGGTCCAAACATTTGCGGCACCGTAAAACCTATTAATACGTTTTACGGCAACAGAACAATATTGTCCTGTTGGAGCACCACCACCCCAAAGCCGAGGAAAATCTAGGCTGTGGTCAATATTTGATCAAAAGCGGGCCGCCAAGTATTCCGCAGTGGATTGTTAGTGACAACCCATGGGCTTGGGTTTCATAGAGGAGTTTTCGATAGGTGCGCATCACGACACAACGTGGTTTTAAACAGTGTGAATGACAATTCACACATTTGAGCATAAATACCGTGGATCCCAAAAGATTCACGTCCAGAACCTCAACATAATGTATTAAGGAAAACGATATCAAGGAGGACAGTAGATTTTTGGTGCAAATTTCTTTTTTTCATCTGCAGAAAATGTCTACCCAATGCGCATTCAATCCCATCACCTCGGTGTTCATAGTGTGAACTCAGTGCTGACATGTGTCTCAAATGAGAAACTACTTCCTATGTGGGTCAAGGACAGGCAATTTCTTGCACTTGAATGTGCTGCAACCCGCTCTACCGAAATTCACGCAGATCTCAGTTGGTATTTGCGAAGTTCCTCTTTCTCGTTTTCTCGGCATGGACAAAGATATTATATTGTCTGGCGCGTGATGGAGGGCAACCACTTCACATATTACTCATCCCGAAAGTGTCTTGCATGATAGGGCCCCACGTGCCATCTGCCTAACGATAGATCTTCTGACAAGCGGCCCTTGTATGCTATAGTTTTAACCTACTTTGTGGGAATCTGGATTCAAGGGGCCTCTTATTTCCAGGGATCACATGTTGGATACCAATCTTCTTTTCAAGAGAACCAAGAGTGCCTTCAACATGGCCCTGCTTGGCGATCGTGCTAGTGAGGAAAAGGTGTAGATTAGGCGATGTGATGCTATCTCAGCCCACAGCACACTATGCAATATATTTTTAGCAATTTCGCATAATTTGAACATCGAGCGAAATCTTGCGAAGGAAAAACTGTTTTCTGGCGTCATTGGCCAAATATAATGCGTTACAACGCACGCTTTGCACCTACGGCACTACTGATCTGCAGAAGCGTACGGTACTGCAAACATGCACACAGTGGCAGTTCCTTTTGAAGTAAAAGTAGCACTTGTGGACTTGGGTGCAGCGCGTAGTGCACTTTAAGCAAACAAGTTTATTGGTATTGACAGTATTATTCATACCCTGAGGCGATACATGCAACGCCAGATGGCACCAACGTGACCTCTGCCTTCCGGGTGCCATCCGGTGAGGCGCATTGTCACAAGTGTATGAACGCATGCACATGTCACAGAGCATCGTATCGTCGTGCGAAGATGCCATGCTTTATTACAGTTTTGTGACACCCGACTTACGTAATTTTCACACACATTCGAACATGTATCTGCATAAGGTCTGCTTGAACGCACAACTTCTGCAAAACACAAAATTATAGAGGTTGATAAAAAGAGACGTGTGTTCTTGGGAGTCTGCAGTTCAATCTACAGGCGAAAACACAACAAACACGCCAAAAAGTGTCGAAAAGAATTTGTGAGTCTTTCTGGGTTGGATGAATTTCTTTTTCTGTGATTCAGTGTTTTGGAAAGTTTGACGAAACAGCATTGTTCCAGAGTTGCTGTCAGCATGAACATCAGAAAAATCGCTGTATCAACAGTTTGACTTATCTAAGGCCACTGCTAAGTGCCCCGCTCTGAATCCTGTGAGCTTCTACGCAATTCAAATGAGGCAATGCCCCGTGAAAATGGTCAAGTGCACAGTTCCTATACAGCAGGGTACCTTCTGGGAAGGGGAGGAGGGTGTCTAAAACAGGCACCAAAACACGACCGTGTTTTGTAACACGCCCTGCCTGGCAACTATATTAATGAAATGTCCATTGACAAACAGAGAACTACAACACCCGACCCTTCGCTGAGAACTGATTGCAAAAGCAGGATGCTGCACATGACGATACCCAGGGATGGTCCCGCATCTATCACAGTTTCTGAGAGCATGTATATGCGTCCTGTTCCAAGAAAGCGGAAACGCCCAAAGAATGCAAACCCTTGCCTGTGGAGGTGACGCCCGCATCTACCAATGCGACTGGTTTCAAGCAGGCTGGGCGACGCGCCATGGAATTGCAGTGACCAAGCTCATCTCACTATTGCAGACTACCTCTTACCACGATCCTCTCCAAATGGCATCGCTGCCCAAGCCCGATCCGCCACACTTTTGTGACTAATAATCTAATGCGTGCCCCTTGCACCATCCAAGGCACACTAAGAACCGACCTTGCGTCGGCGCCGGGGCGTGTTTTGTGGCTGGCCCTGTCACACCGCCCTTTGGTGCGGGAACTTCCGATTGGCGGCGACCACGGAGCCTCCCACCACCGTCCTGTCACCCCATCACTGCTGTACGTCCGGTTGGACGTCATCCCAATATGTCCCTTCAGTGTCCAGCCTGGTCAGACCCACGGGTAAATGATAACCACCCGAAGTCCCAGCGGCAAAGCTGTATATCACGATCAGCGAACCGCCTCCACGCCTCGCGCCCAGGAAGAAAGCGAGAGCGGCCGTAGCTAGACGCTGCCGCCTCTTGCCCCGCGTCTCGGAGGCGCCTGCCGCCCTCCACAGTGAACGCCCAGGCGTGTGAGAGCTTGAGTTGGTGTCAAGCAGTGCGCCCGCGTAACTAAGGTGGGGCTGCGGAGCAATCGCGGGAGCGGACGCTGTCATGCTGGGCCGCTGTATTTCCCTCGGGGGCCACTTCCATGTCGGCTGATGTGGCCGGCGCTTCGCACCGGCGGCAGATGTCCCAGGCGGGGGGTCTGTGGCTTGTGGGGAGCGCGTTGGTGCCGTCGTCTTTGGTGACGAGGCGGCCATCGAGCGGTCAGAAAATCTGGGAGGGGTTAGTGAGCGGAGGGGACGCGTTGGTGCCGAGTGCTGCCCAGCGGAGCGATGACTGCAGCCGCGGTCTGTGTTGCTGTTGGCGTCAACGGGGAAGGCTGCACCAGCGCCGGGAGGCCATGCATGGCATGGGCATTCCAGATTCTGGGCTTCGCATGGATCGCGCAATCGCGATCGCGTTTCGGAGCACGCTTGGGCGGCGGATTCCCCCCTATGAGATTGCATGGGCTCGGCCATCATGCTGGCCGTTGTTTACACGCTGCGCACGACTCAGTGCGTTCCAATTATGTATCCGATCAACGACACGGTGAGTTTAGGCATGTATCTGTTGGACTGGATCTGCGAGGTGGATCCGGAATGTCGACGCACCCCAGCGCTCCCGCCGACAGGCCATCGCTGGTGTTATCTCATGTGAACCCTCGGCCCATTACACCATTTGTGCGGTGTTCGCTGCAGGACTGTGAGCAGCAATGGGTGCCACGTCCGCTTTGCTCCTCTGCGTCATCGGCGTTGCAGCGTTGGGGATGGACACGGTGAATGCGTTCACCTCTCAAACGGACCGTAAGTGGAGACTCCATAGGCAATCTCGGGGTGTCCGTGAGCGATTTGAAGCTCCTTGCAGCAATTCTGTGCGCAATGTAAAGGAGCTCATTGATCGCGTTTGTATATGAATCCACCGTGATCGCATTTCTGGACATCGACAAGCGACGGATTTGGAGCATCGGCCGTACCGCCAAGTCCGCATGCATACTCCAGGTGGCGAAGCCTGAAGTTCGGGTCATTTTTTGTGCCCTGACAAGAGCGCACATACTGAGGGTAGCGATTCAATCAGTGGCACGCTTACAATGGCGAAACGGCATTCTTGTTCGCGCAACCGTTCGTTTTTTTGTCCCACCACCCTGCATAGTCGTTGCTGGGAGGGTGGTAGTGACACCCTGAGAGGGTGTTGGTGAGTTCCGACAAGCGTCCAACTGAGAGGAATTCTTCGTCGTTGTTTCAGTGAACGCTCTGTACATCATCAAGGACGAGGTGTACAATCGGGACGAGCACTGGAGAGCCGTCGTGGACAAATGGAGTGGGGGTGGCCCAAATGGCGAAGATGACCCTTGTGGTGTGTGAAATATTGTATCAGCGACGAGCCCTCAGCTCGTGGCATTCAGCGTGCCATGAATTTTGCAGGATATCCGGGAACCCAGCTGGTGGTGCACCTGCTTCCAGGCCTGTGTCAATTCCATCACAATGTCTTATACTATTGTACAGAAACAAGTTCTACTGCAGTGGCAAGTTCTGCCATAATAATATGCATGGCGCAGCAATTTGTTGTGTGCCATGGAATCGGTGACTGCCTGAGAGGCATGGAGCAGGATATCTTACCCATTACAATGATTGCATGCGATCTATTCAGTGATGCTGAGCAGTAGTTGCCTCTCAACTGTTGAAATTCTAAATGCAAGGTATAGTCTTTTTGCCACTACCGCTGTGACAAACGACTGCTGTGTTGGATCAATATAGATTATGTTATCCACACTTAACACAGCTCTGTCTGCGGTTAGGTCTGGACTGGAGGGGAAATTGGGAGGGAGTTGAGTGCAGGGGACAGGATGGAAAGCCCTGGGAGGAGGAACGCTTTGTGACCAACATTCACATCACAGACAGTGCTGTTGGTGGACCCATTCCTCTGGGCATGAGTCTTCTGCACAACCTCATTGAGTTTGATATGGTACGGTGCGATGGAGTGTCCACACGATTGCTTGTGAAAATATAGCGTCACATTCTTGTGTAGAGGGTATGGCTGCGTCCAACTCAAAGAACTGGTGCAAGGCACAAGGCAGCCAATTTGCAGCTGTCCAGAACGTGTGCATTACAGTGCTTCAGGCAGTGGTTGAGTATCAACAGCTTGCTTTCAGAACCTATGTTACTAGTCCATATGCATTTGAACAGCATGCTCACACAATTCACATCCACTGAATGCAAAGGCATCCCCTTCAAAAATACTCTGCTGCAGCGTAGCACAGGATTTAATTTGTTGTAAAGTTAGAAGCCTGAAGGCTAGTGAAACAAAGCACACTGCTTTTCAACGACACCTGGCAATTGCCATGCCTCCATGAGATCCAACTCAGTTCTCTGTTTTCCGCTGCAGGATGGGAATCGCCTGACAGGCCCGCTCATCCCTCAAATCGCGTGCCTGCCAAATGTGGGAGAACTGGACCTTGCCAACAACTCAATCTGGGGCCCCATTCCCACAGCGTGGAGAGGATTGGAAAAGTATGGCCTAGCGCTGATTGGCACATTCACTCAGGGACTCTCCAGACCACAAATATTTGCCATTACCATCTCGTTGTGTAGATCCTAATGCGCTCGATTCAAGAGATTTTGGCACACAGCCTGTGTGACACAGGTGCCCGTGATGCAGCTTGCACTGGATGTTGGGATGCAATTCGCCTGCAGTAGTGGCGGGCTTCTCAAGTTCTGAACGTGTGTGGTTCTGATCCAGACTGGAGGAAGCTGAGTTGGAGAAGAACCCAGAGCTCTCCGGTTGCATCCCCCAAGGCATGCCTCCTGTCACGACTGTCTGCCCCGAAGAATTGCCGTATTGTGAGCTTATCGGCACGCTCACAGACCAGACCGCAGTGTGGTGAGTGGCAAGCGTATTGTGGATCGAGCAAGCAACGGCTGCGTGCTGGGTCCCCGGTTTTGCGCCACGCACGTCCGAAAATTGGCAAGAGCAAGGGTGCGTCTGACGGTTTGAAGTGTACATTCTAATGCACGGCGTCAGGGGCTTCAGGAGGAATTGCAGCATATGTGCGCAGATCTTCATGTCTGTTTAGGTGCTTTCCGTAACATGTTGGTGATATTTTGATGGCCGCTGTGCCAGGGGCTTCTGCGAGGACTACCCAGAGGTTAACCTGTGGTGCCCGACTCCGGAAGAAGTAAAGGAGTTCATTAACAATGGAAACAACTACGATTCACTTGTGGACCAGGCCTCCATGTCAACAACCCCACAGCCTGTGGGATTTACTGGGAACGCTGGCCCCATAACTGCCGATGCCACTACGTCGGAGGTTGCAGCGGCACCGCCACCCCGGGGTATCATTGGGAGGCTGTTCGACGGGGTATTTGGATAGAATCCAGCCCTGCCGCAGATTGGGGGCTACTTTTCCTGCTTCCATCCGCAGGACCTGGCATCATCATGTTGCCATCCAGGCCGCGATGGTTGAACATGTTGATCGGCAGCAGTAAGCCAAATTTCGTTCCTCAGGTCCTGCTGACGCGCTGATTGGAAACTCATCTGGAGAGCGCGCAGCCGAGCCACGAGGGTTATTGGCAATGAAGGGTGATAATCGAGGCTTGCCATAGCAGGGGTTTGCCATGTGTGAAACGCGATGTAACGCGAATCCTTTGCAATGTTGCCGTGCCTCATGGGATCAGAACATTCTTGGCATATTCGATTTTCAGCGTCATTGGCATTCTTGGCATATTCTATTTAGCATCATTTATTGTAGTGGCCAAAGTGAGAGGTGCAGATGCTCAACGCCACTGGACGCAAAACTGTGTCGTTTGCTTTTGTTACTGCTCCCAAACGCGCAGCGTGTGGGCTATGGTGTCCCTTGCTGGCCAGGATGAACGATGCCATCCACAACACCATTTTGCCATCAGCACATGATTTCCAGAAGTCATTGCATTTTAGCGTATGAGGTTAACTGCGACAATGAAGAGACCTGGTTGTTCCACAGTCCATTTCCAAACACAAGTTGGCACACGTTCGATTTACCCAGCCATTGAGTACACCATGGCGGTGACTAAGCAGCGTCAACGCAGAAGGAAACCAAAATTGTTGTTGAGCCTCTGACACCCTCCCTAACGACTGTCCCTGGGCAATGTATTTTAGGGTTGGCCCAAAGGTTGGCTGGCAATCGGCCTGCAGAGATGCCAGAGACACAGCGCATGTGCGCTGCACCATTAACACCATAGATGCTGGGCTTGTTAATAGGGACATTGCTAACATTACAGCCGCAAATATAAATACGCAACGACCGATTTCTCAACGTTACAAATCCAAGCTGGCGTCTTTGTTCAACACTGCAATCCGTCAGTCAATTGCCGCCCTACAATCCTTGCGCCAGGCACTTCGCTCCTCAGAAAATGACAATTGTCATCACTGGCCCCGCTGGCATGCCCGCTCCCAACAGCACATTACAATGGCCCCTGTGGCGCACTCAAAGTTTCCCTTCCAGTTGCGTTTGCCCCGTTGTGCCGGTAACTGAAACAATGCTGAGTTTCTGGCAATGGCAGCAATGGATGGCTCCAGCTAAGGGGCTACCTCAGTCTCTGATTGTCTTGCTTCGGTCCACCTTCTTACTCCTTAGCTGCAGTGGGATGAAGGATGGAGTTTCGCCCACCCCCCACCCCCAAAGCCCACTAGTGGAACAAATTACATTTCAGTATGATGCACATCCAGTGAGTCTGTGCAATATTTCTCTTCATTCATTGTCCCCAATCTCCTCTCCCCAAACCCGCGGTGGGCACACAAAAGTGGATACTGCAGTGTGTTGCTCTGTTGACTGAAAAAGTTCAATGGGCAGCGGCCGTTCTTGCCATCTGAACAAGTGTCTCCAGTATCATGTGCGTATATGGAAGTCAAGATGCCGAAAGAAAGGTTGCATGACAAGAAAAACTGCGAAACCATTGAGAGGCCACGGATATTTTGGCTGCGAAGAACATGTTATCAACGATTCTCAGCGCCTTCGTCGCGGGGATTCCGGACCAATTTGTATCAACTTCAGTGAACGTTAGTAACACGGCCCGGAGTTCCCAAACCTCAGGCTGCAGAACTCAAATCCGAGGGCACCCCTGGGGAGTGGATGGCGGTTGGCCACTCGCGGGAGACTCCGCCGGCGCCAGGGGCCCACCGTTCGAGGAGGAGGGCAGGCCAGTGCCGCTGACGCGCGCCGCCTGGGCAGCCGCGCACCCCAGCGCGATGGTGTTCGCCTTCGCCTCTAGGGTGCTGCAGAACTTGGTGGCCTACGCCTGGCCGGCGTACCTGTCCTACAAGTCCGTCGAGTCCAGGCAGCCGGAGGGCGTCCGCGACTGGTGCATCTACTGGTTCGTGCTGGCCCTGTTCACGATCGCCGAGAGGGTGGCGGACGCGTTCCTGTTCTGGGTTCCGCTGTACTATCCCGCCAAGGTGGCCTTCGTGCTCTACCTGTGGCACCCCAGGACGCTGGGCGCCAAGACGCTGTACGGCAAGGCGGTGAGGCCCACGCTGGGGTCTTACGAGCTGGAGATCGACCAGGCGGTCGAGGAGGCGCGCGTGTGGGTGAGGGACTGCGTCCTGGTGAATAAGAATAAGGCGGTGGACTACCTGCGGGCGAAGGGAACGGAGTTAGCGGCCAAGGCGCACGCGCTCTTGAAGCGGCTTGAGGCGGGATCCAATGAGATCGACAAGAGGGATTGATGCCGCGCTGCACGTCGCTCGGGGGTGAACGGGAGGCGGGAACGAGGTCTGAGAGTTCGGTACAGCCTCCCACGAAATGGATGGCACAGCCACGGCAAGGATTGGGGGGTGGGTGGAGCCGCCAGCCTTCCAGGAGATAGCTAGTCACATGCAGGTTCCTGTGGAGGCCTTGCAGCGCCATCGCCTTGTCTTTGCCTTGTCCATGGTCGGATTTGCTCCTTGCCATTTTGCTGGTGCTTTGGCTTCGCCACGGGCCGTCAGATTCCTGACAACGAGTGGAGATGGAAGCAGCAGCACTGGCAGGGGTATGTAGATTAGATCTAGCGTTGGATTTCTCTAGAAGGCTGTGTGTTGCTAATGGATCAGCCAATGGGCTAAGCCCCTGAGACCCTGGCAGCAGACTCAGACTGGCAGGCATTCTTTGTAGCACAGTGTAAGCAAATACGAGTGCTGCGAAACAACTGCTTGTGTGTGGCTACATGAACTGCTTCTATGTGTGCTGATCCTGCCACTGTGCAGTACCTGCCTGTGCCAACAGGCAATCAAGCAGTGCATTTGCAGGCTCATATTTGCAATTCAAAATGTGAAGAAATGGGAGAGTCCGACAGAACTGACACACCCCATGTTGAACCATAGAGTGCTTTGTGTCACCATTGATATCATTGGTCACATGGTAAGCGGGTCACTTTACATGGCTGAAAGCAACACTAATGTCTATGCTGAGATAAGAACGCATGGTTCCACTGTCACATAGTGCATCCATGGTTGCTGCGCCGTTTTCACACTATGCTGGAGCCCAGAGTTTCTCTCGTTGCTCCATTTCCTCCTTTAGACTGCAACGCGCTGTTTCCTTTGTCTTTGTCTTGAGGCCTCACACTCAAACTCAAATGTGGCGGTGAATCCAGAGGTTCGGGGTCATGGACTGCCTGGGGAATCATGACATTTGATTCAGGGGACCTTATCATAACTGACGGGCTGATAGTGACAAACGACTGCCTGAGAGAGTACTTGCTTACCCAAAGCACATGATCCGAGGCCTCATAGATGCTGACGCCATCGAGGGCAACTTCGTCGAAGGGATCCTCAAGCGAGATGGCTAGGTTCAGCAATCCAGTCAGCACAAGGTTCATCTGCAAACCAGCATGGCACCCTTTCGTTCAATTGTTATTGATTGCCTTGACAACATCCAGGCCATCGTGCGAATCTATATGAATGGTGTTTCTTTGTGCTTGCAGAAACGGCATTTCGCAAGGCGCCGTTATTCGAAACCAGGGGCGTGCAACATGGATGCTGAACAACTCAGTTCTTCTGGCATTTATGTATTTGTGTCCGCGTTTGCAAACTTCCTTTTTGCGCATGCTGGGGTTTTGTTGTGGCTTCGACACGTCTTGACAAATATAGCTTACCATGAGAGCGAGGAACAGGGCGAATGTGAAGCCCATGTCCATCTTCACCCGTGCCCACAAGGGTCCATAGAACAGAGGAAGGATGACCACCACATAGAACCGGGCCATTGATCGCAGGCCTTGTGGTGTTCGGTACTCCTTCAATTGCGACAGTCGCTCAATGGAAACGAACATCTTCAGCAGGATCGAGTTGACGGCAGTGACGTCAGCAGCGACCAAGCCTTGTTGGTGCAGTTTCTGCGGCAAGGCACGGAAGCTCTTCAACATTCAACGTGCGACATAAGCATGTGCGCCAGTGCGGCTGAATGCGCAACAAGTCCTGTTGCTTGCTTTGCAAGTAGCGACGACCCAGTCTGCACGCAGTTAGGCGTCTGAACTGGTTCAGGCACAGTAGAATAGAGTCCGCAGTGCAGTGTCCATTAGATTCCATGCCAGTGTAGAGTCTATGCCGCCAATGAGAACATAAAATGGACACTGCCGATCAAAATTCCGCAACCATGTGCTGCAAAACAACCATGTTACCGTCCGCTAGAACTCTTGCCGGCCTGCCAAAAGGACGGCTTGCTGGGTTAGTGCTCTGGAAGTCCGAGATATTCCTATCCGTGCCCCTTGGGCAGTGGCGAACAAGAACACAGTTGGGCAGACTCTTACCTGGCAGTATTGTGACATGTCCTTCAGGACTGCGCACAATCTCCGGGATCTAACCGACATCTCCTGGGAAACCGAAACCTGTCCAAAAACGCCATTGGTCCACGTGGGTCGCGCATGGCAGAAACGCATTTAGGCAGACTATCATGGGCCTCTGCAGCTTGCGCCGAAAATACGCAGAACAAATGCGTCGCTGAGTAACGGCTCCCGTGATTTGGCCAGCGCTTGGGGTCTGTAAATAGCTACGGCTGTGCGTTACAGTATTCAAGCATCGCGCACAATATAGGACAAGCACGAGTGCCTCAAAATTCCTTGAAGGATTGCTTGGAGCTCAAAAACGCCATGTAAAATTGTTACGAACGACGGAAAAAAATACCTGACGGTCGCACCAGAGCCAGCAGCTCAGCTGCGCTGTATTCTACACCCTTTCATGAGATAGGTAGTCGTGTAGGTTTGCAGGGTAACAACATCGCAACGCACCGGCCACGCGGTTGTGAAATGATAGTGCGATTTTGTTTCGAGCTACGCAGATGTCGGGAAGAGCCATCGCACCAAAAATTGTGGAATGCGGGTGCTTGTCGGCATCTGGAAGCTGTAGTGTTATGTTGTGAACCAGCCATGCTGCAAGTAAGCCTGAAGCTCACCTGGGTGAGCAAAAGCAGCAGTTATGGGACTGATAGGTTCTGTTTAAAACCCCTGCAGCAATGTGCTTGTCTCGCTCTCGGTGCATAGCACGAGGACTGGGGTGGAGGCATGAAAAGGGCATTCCACAAAATGTGGCGAATTGGGTGGGTCCGCGCACTCACCCCACAGTGCCTTCACCAGGCCGCGCATGTCTTGTAGCGCCTGCTTATTTGGCTTCGGCGGCCAGTCCCTGTGGGCCAAGTAGAGGGCCAGGCAGGCGGACTTTACTGTTCAGCGCATGCACAACACCCGCACGTCATCGCTCAACACTTTCAACTTGAAAGACTCTTGACAATCCAATCGCGTCCATGCGCGCGGAGGCTGCTCAAGGAGTCACCGGTTCCAGACTGTAGGTGGAAAAACCTCACCTTCCGCTATTTCGAAGAGCGCTTTATCTCTCCTCCCAATCGCCTGCGCACAAGCAGGACACATATTCACAGATCAAACCCACGGGCTCGACCTCCCTGTGCACGATCAGTAGGCGGGTAGCCGATGACGCTAGAATTCGCACCCGGTGCACCATCCACAGCAGGGGCACCACAACCAGGAAGCACGCCAGCGTCCAGCCCCAGCCTTGCGACGGCGCCAGCGCCACATCCCGGTGGTAGCTGAAGAAGGCGCAAGACGACGCGGCGACGAGCGACGAGTACAGGGACAGCCATGTGCGCAGCCTCAGGGAGACCGCGAGGCTGAGGCCCACGTCCCACAGGTGGCGCCTAGCCGCGGCCAGCTGCAGGCGGGGGTCCCCCAGCCTGTGGCTGCTCCAGACGGGCACCCCCCTGGACCGGAGGGACACCACGGAGGGCTCGCCCCGCCTGCCCCTTGGGCCAGGGGACCCACAGCCTGGGCCGTGGAAGCTTGGGGGCGCCCGAGCCATGGTGCCCGGGACGCCAGGAGAGCACAGGAGACGCAGGAGACCACTCGGAGACCGTAGGGCGTGCTCGTCGGGGAGTCCCCTCGAAGGCTTGAAGCGCCGGCTTGCCGCCCGCTTGGCCTCGGAGGAGAGGGTCGCCTGGTGGGACTCCGCGGGCTGGACGTCGAGTCGTCGGGCGGGCGGGGAATCACGAGACCGGGCGGTGTGGGGATGAAGGCGGGGCGCGGAGGGGGCGGTGGGGGCCAATCCGCCGCGGAAGCGCCACTGGCGGCCTCGATTGCGCGGGCAAACAGGCGCTTAGCAGGGGAGCTGCGGAGGTGTGAATTCGGCCCTTGCATTGCGCCGCAGCCGGTAATTTAGAGTTGAGCGGGCCCCCTACTTTGCGGCCTCACGAGCGACGCTGGGGGACTTTCCAGCTCCTCCTGAAGCCAGTGGTTGTGCCGACATTATCCGCGCTGAGGGAGGCTGCGCGGATCATTCACAGCTGCGACTTCTACCATGGCAATGTTTACCAAGAGATTCAGCCACCACTGGAACTAACCAGTGCACAACACCAACACGTTGGTGCATGTAACACCAAGCGCACTATCTCGATCCGCATAACTGTAAAGCTAAACGGAAGTTCAGCTCATCCACCACCCTCTGTCGCTACGTCCCTATTTCGATAACCCTGCAGTGCAGAAGTCAATATCGTTGTCATTGCCCGACAGCGGTTGGGTGCACAACAGAGTCATGCCTTCACATAACGAGGCGCCAATTGAACCACCACGACTCGTGGCACTCTTACAAGAATTCAAATATTTCAATAGCAATCAAATGAAACCAAGAATTTTTCTGCACCTAGTAGCCCAACGTCCGCAAAACAGGCTCCCATTAGTCATCCAGAAAGCTCAGGACGTCCTCTGGCTTGATGGTGTCCCTCTCGTATGATGCATAATAATCTATGATGTTCACTGATTCCGAGTTCAGCCAATCTTTGACACACTTCAGTCCCTCACTCTCCTTTCCTTCCTTCACTTCCTTGAGGATCTCAAGGATCACTTTGCTTCCACACGCGCTATCCACTAATGGGGAGTCCTCGTCAGGGCCACCCCCAGCCAGGATCATCGAGCCAAGCCTGTGCAAACCAACGATGTCTTGAGACACCAAGATCCCCAACAGCCTTCCTATCAGCTTTGGAGCGTTTGGAAAGTCCTCTGCCATATCTGGGATCTTCTGCAAGATGCCCTCTACACCCTTCTCCATGTCTTCAGGACTCGCAACAGGAGCCGCATCGTCAGGCTGCCCTTGGCTCAGTGCGATCATCAAGTCCGCAAGTGGTAACAGTCGCTTCGCAGCATCTATGCCCCTGATGTTCAAAGCCTGCTCCACTGACGTGGACAAGATCTCTGGCACCTGTGCTCCCGCTGTCTTCAGCTCTTCGACACATTTCACAGGCTCGTCGATGTTGTCCATATCGTGGTAATATTCCTCAATGAGCCCTTTCACCTTCCGCTTCAGAAGCTCCTCTGAGATCGCCTTGGGGGGCTCCTCGGCCTGTGGAACAGGCTTGCGCGAGGGAGGTGCCAAGTTCAGCACTGGCCTCTCTCGCATCGGCTCCTTTGAGGGTGAATTGGGCCTCCGAACGAAACTTGGCGACTCACGCTGCTGCTGGCGGCCAGCTGGCCGGAGGGAGATCTCCTGCGAATCTGTCCGTCCCAGTGACCTGATTCTTGTCAAAGGCCGAACCTCCTCACCTCGCATCAGAGGGGGGGTAGGTGATGGGCTGGGGCCCGGCCGGCCTGGAGGTGGGGGAGGGCCACTCCTGCCCCACATACCACCACCGACTCTATCCTCCAAGTGCCGAGCTGATCGGGAGCCGCCCCAGTGACCACCACCACCACCGCGTCCTCTGTCACGAATAGCCATCTGCTCCTTGGCAGCCTCCTTGTGGATCTCCTCTATCGTCTTAGGGCCTTCCTGCTGGCGACGCTCCACCCAGCCACGGTCCTTCATCTCAATAAGGTCCAGAAGCATGAATCTATGTCGAACGTCCAAGTTCTGATTTTCGGCAAGCCTGCCAACCCTGACGAAATAAGCTTTCAATTCAGACCGCAGGGTCAGCCGCCGTCCCACAGTGGCCACAAGCTTGCAGAGGCATTCAATATCCTCAGGCTTGGGACTCTTTTCTTCCCGCAGCAGCTCCACAATACATTGGTGGATGATTTTTTCAGTGAGCATGCCCTCCTTGAACAAATGCCCAATGAACTGCATGTTTCCAAGGGACCTCATGCGTTCTTTTTTCGCCTGTATTAGGATCTTTCTGTCCTCCTCAGTGCCCTGGCAACCGCGCAAATTCATCGGTCAGCACAGCATCCCAACAACACAACAGCATGCCAGAGCCAACTGAGCATTGAGCGCAAGCAGCTGAGCTGTATGATATTGACAGGCACACAAAACTGCCAACAAGCTTGTACATTGCAACCAACAGAAGCGCGCAACTCACCGCTCCCTTGGACTCAGCCTCTTCAGCCGCTCTCATGGCTGCATCGCCCTTCTCGAACTCAGCCTGACACTTGTTCAAAAGGAGCCTCCTGAAAGTAACCTTCCTGGGGTCTCCCTCCACTGTGAACTCCGGCATCGCCATGCTCAAGAGTTTGCAAAGAGAAGCGTAGAGTGCACAAAATGTTGTCTCGATCAATGCTTTGTCAAATATTTGATCGATTAACCCTGTTAGAGTTTGTGCTGATGCGATTTCGACCTCTTTCATCTGGGACACACAAGTAAACCAGGTCAATGAAAAATCAAGCTTGAGTGCAGCTCAGCACTAAGAAACAAGCCATGCTAATTTGCATGAAGTCACAACAGACCAGATTATTGCTTAACAACAGTGCTGACTTTCGTTAGACACCAGTTATATCTACTGGCGACCAACAAGACAGAACGTTCGTTTCACACCTCAGGCACAAGGTACATACCAGATTAAACATCTTCTGGAAGTTATCTGGGGTGAGCTTGTTCAGAATTGACTTGAACGACTTCTGTCGTTTCTCCTCCTCAGGGTCATCACTGGTGGTTTTCCCGACAACGTATCTGTTTGACAAACAGCACAAACTTGTCAAGTACACCCACAAAAGAAGACACTGCCACGATTGCCCCCAACATGTTGCAGGCTACTTCAGCCAACTCCCACATACCCACACACATGCCCAGGCTATTCACACAGTAGCCCACCTGTTTTCGGACTTGTGCAGCTGTGTGGAGGCAGCACCGAACGGTGATAGCGGCATAGGGGCCTTTCCCCATCTGTCCTCGTCGATGCCTTTGCCCCTATCGACACCAGCCCTGCTGCGGTAGCTTCTCCCACTACCAGTGCGGCCTGCATTCGCACCCAGTACAGCCATGTCTGGGTTGACTTGACAGTGCATGCACCAAAACAAGCAGGGGACACTTTAACACAGCTCCTGATGAGCCCCCCCTCCATCTTCTGAGCAATACAGGAGATTTTCAGAAATCCAATTCGGGCACAGCAGGCCCCACCTTGGCTGGGGTCCTTTCCCCACATGCCTCCAGAAGACCTCGAGCTGCGATCGCGATCCCGTTCTCTTTCCCTTTCTCTTTCCCGGTCCCTCTCTCGGTCTCTGTCCTCCACGGAGCCTCTGGCGCCCCTGGAGCCCCATCGGTCGCTGTTGCGACCGCTCCTCGTTGGCGCAATGGCGTCCTTCAAAAACTGCCCAACAGCGATGTCCAGGGGTTTCTCCATAAAGCACGACTTCACCTTCAGCAGGAAGTCGAAGACGTAGACCCTCTTTCCGCTGCGTTTGTGATCAATTTCGGCATCGCCGATGCGGAGGCCGCTCCTGGACCTGGAGGGGCCCAGGCCCCTCCAATCCCTTTTGGACTGGTCGCCAGAGTTCGAGCTAAAACTGGGAGAACGCGTGACCGTCTTCAGCGACCCGGAGCGCCTTGGCGGCAGGAAACCCTCTTCCCCAGGACTCCATGGCCCCTTCTCAAAACCATCGGGCGGTCTCGAGTTGGCAGCCCTGAGCACGTTCAGCGACTCCATGCTGTAATACCTCCTAGCCACACACAGCAAACCGCCCTCAGAGCCACGACAGCGGACAGGTGCTGCGGAGCGGCGCAGCTAGCGCTGGCACCTCTGCACAAAGCGCCGCGCACCTGTCGTCCGCGGACGAATGCGAGAGACACGCTTGGGGCCTGAGCTGCGCAACGACCCTTCCAAAATGCCGACAACCAACTGCGCCCTCCGCCCCCGCTCCCTCGACGCAGGGAGCAGCGCCGGGAAATGCCAAACGAGGAGGAATGCGCGCACATAGGGGCCCGATCACGGTTGAACGCCGCGCAACGTGCTAACATGCACTGCCGCATCCACAGGGCAGCAGACAACTCCGATGATTCACCAAACAGACCCGCACAAAGCACATCCTCTCCTTCGTTTCACAATCCGACCCAGGACGGGGTCCCGAACACTCACCTGGAGGTTTGGGGCGCCGGCGACCACATGTTCTCATCGTTACTCTTCGCCTCGCCAGCCCCCGAACTCGATGGCTCCGACTCCTCCGGGGACGCCGGCGTCACCGTGCCCGTCGCGGGGGCCACCTCGTTGGGAGTAGCAGTGCCCGTGGGAGGCTCCAAAACCACTGGCGAGGCCACCCCGCTGCCCGCCTCGGCCGTTGTTGCAGCAGCCTCAGACTGCTCGCTTGGCACGCCGCCGCTCGCGGCGGCTTCCTTTCCCTCAACGGGCGCCGGGGTGTCACTGGCAGCAATTGGCTCCGCATCCTCTTCTTCCGCAACGACCCTTGAGCTCGGAATCACAACGGCGTCCGCCGCAGTCGGCGCCGGTGCAGTGTCGGTGCTCCCCTCTGCGCAGGGAGCAGCAGCTGCAGGATGCCAAGCCTTTTCATCTTCGCCTTCAGCGGCGGTCGACGGCCCATCCGTCCCATCCACCCCATCGGCGGGAGTGGCAGAAACCTGTGCAGCCTGCGGAACCTGCTGTGGCTGTGCTGCCCCTGGAGCCTCTTCCTTTTGAGGGGCCTTCGGCTCCAGAGCGGCCTTCGCAGCTTCAGCCGCCTGCTGCGCCTGAGCCGTCTGCTGCGCCAGTCGCGCTTCAGGAGTCTGCTGTGCCTGCGGGGCACCTGAAGGCTGCACAGCTTTGGGAGCAGGCTTGGGCTGAATAGCCGACCAACCCTTTTTTGATGCACTCCACTTTGACTTGCCCGTCTCAGGCTCCTCCTTCACAGGTTCATCGCGTTCAGCTTTCTTGAGCACGGCATCGGATCGGGAATGCGACTCCTCCTGCACATTTTCACGCTCAGTCTTCTTGGGCAAGGCATCGGTTTGCACATGGCTCTCTCCCACTTTGCCCGTGTGAACCCCATTCTCAACCACGGGAATGGACTTTGCACCCTTGGCCAGCGCAGGTTTCGCATCATCCGATTCTGTGGTGGGCATCTTCTCTGCTGACGGAGGCTGGTCTCGTTGCGCAGAACCTTCCTGCTGGGTTTTGTCAACCTTTGCAGGTAATGGCTGCTGTTCAGTGCGCTGGTCAGATGCGACCACACTCTTGGCAGAACCACCCTGAGGCACAGCTACAACCTGCGGCTTGCCCTTCTTAGCAGCCTTCCCTCCCTCTGGAACAGTGCCCTTTTGAAGACCTGGCTGTTCGAATTTGTGTTCTGCTGCTACCAGCCTCGTGGGCTGCGTGCCAGCTGTGGGCTTATGCAGAGTCGATGCTAGCACAGCAGAGCTTGTGGAAGAACTGCCCTCCCCTCGTGTTGTCAGTTGTGCTGCCTTTGGGCTGGGACCACCCTGTTGGTGTGGAGACATCAAACCTCCCCTCACTGTTGCATGCTTGGCACTATGCAACACTTTCACTTCACCACTCTGGGACCTGGCTAGCTTCTGTCCAGCTGACTTTTCAGGTGCGGATAGCTTGCTCTTACGGACGACATCCTTGCTGGACACAGACTTCCCAAGCGGAGCTGTTTCGCCTGCAAGGTAAAGGTGCTGCTCAGAAAACCTGCCTGCTACTTCGTTGGTCTCTCCCAGAATCGTGGCACACTTGGCAAGACCAATAAACGAGCACAGCCATCCAAATCCCCATATCGTGCTGCCAAAGCCTTACCTTTGTCGCCCGTGATTGCCTTGTTGGTCTTGGGATCTACAAGAGACAAGGCCTTCTTCGCCCTGTTGGCAGCAGGTTGTTGTGGTGACCAGGACTGCTCAGGCTCGCTCGCCACCGAGGACGCCGCCCTTGGCACAGGCGGGCCCTGAGGAGATGCCTCCAATGGCATTCTGCTGCTGGCTCGGTCCCCACCCCATGGAGGCCACTGCTGCTGCTCCACAAAGCCCACCGGCTGGTAGGGCATGCCGCCATATGGGTAGTAGGCTCCTGGCCCCTGGGGCGGTCCAGTCATCTGGCCGCTGTAAGGCGCACCGCTTGCCGGAGGCCCGGGTGGCTGAGGTCGCTTTGAACCCCCAGAGCCCCTCCTGGCCCCTCCTGGCCTGGGAGGGTGTGTAGCTTGTTGAGGCTGGTAGTATGGAGGCGGCATTTGCCCCGCAACGCCGTAGCCCACGCCCATTCCCGGCTGTGGGCCGGCGTATCCCGGCGAAGGAACGTCCATATGCTGCGCGACAGCAAGGGGAGCTTTCAGGAAACTGGGGCTGGCGGACGGGGACGGAAGTGGTGCACGCACAGCAGTGCACAGCTCAGAACCAGCGTTTCCGCGGCGACTAAGGGCGCCCCGTCCCTGGGACTGGCCAATGGCGCGTGGCACTACTTCACGTGGCAAGAATTGGCGGTGGGATTCGGTGAGATGGTCTCAGAAACGCGCACGGGAGCGGCTGGCCCACAGCGAAAACGCGTGCAGAGGGCAATCTGCTCATTTGTGGGCGTTGCCTGGCCGGGAACCATCTCCGAAAGGAGTCGCAAAGCCGGGCGAGCATTCCGAGGTCACTCCGCCGTGTCTCAGGCCTGCGAACGCCAGCGATCTGCCGCACCAGCCACTACATAGGAAACCCCTCCGCGCCCGACTCACGGCGCGCCCGCCGGTGCCAACAAAAAATCCGCGCGCATCGCATCTGCACGCGCAGCCAGGCGCCACCAGCGGGGCCACAGCGCAGGATGGGACCAGCAGCGGCCAGCGCACTTTTTCCCTCACCTGCAGTCCCGGGAAGGAACCAAACTGTATGGGCCCGTCTGCAGCAAGGGACACAGCAGAAGCACAGACTCAGGACCATGCCATCTCAACCCAACACGAGCCTGCAGCACGTCTGTGCGGCCCGGGTGCAAACTCCTGCAAGCGCGCAATCCGCCCCCGGCGGGTCACCCGTGGCGGAGCGCGACGCCCCCAACCGCTGCCCACGGCCAACTCGAGGAGCACGCGCCCGGCCCTCGGCTCACCGGCGCTCGCGGGCGGCGCCGTGACCGGCTGCATCCAGTAGCCGTTGCCCATCGCCCAGGGGTGGGAAAATTCCATGCTGCCCCTGGATACCAGCAGGCGCCGGGTTTCGCCCCGGCCGCTAACGCTTTGATGACGTTGGTCCCAGCAGTCACATGCAGGCCGGCCCCCAGCAGGGCGCCCGCCGCGAGGAAGGAAAATGAACCGCCGCGCGGGGGCGCTGTCGAAAGCGTGTTCAAAGAGCGGGAGGCGTTGGGGGAAGCGAGTCGTAGCGTAGCTGCTCCAGGCAGCCCATGGCAACCGAATGCGGTCGCCATGTCAAGTATGTCACGGGGGGGGCTGCGGGCATTGTTGGTCTGTTCTTGGTGGGGATGACGGTTGGCAGGGCCGCGCTGGGGTTAAATTGTAGAAACTTGAGCCATTAAACCAGATTGTGTAGCCGCCAGGCTGCCACGGGCACCGCGCCAAGGAGCACGTGGCTGCCGGCGGCTGTTTGCTTGCCCTGACGATGCCACACGCGGCGCTATAGTTGGTGGTCGCCGCTGGTGGGCTCGACGCACCCGAGTTCCGCGCAGGCGTCGCGAAAGGAGGTCGCAAACTGCGAGTGTTTCTTGACTGGCGTCACGCGTTCGCACGCTATGAGGTAGGGACTACCCAAACTTGTGTTCGGAGACGACTTCGTTCCGTTGCAAAACTTTTCAAAGCGCTCAAGATGGCATGCGGCTCACGAGGTTTTACTCTCAATGGCTGGTTTAGACCCAAGCTAAAGAAACGTCAAGCTGCGAGGTTCCTTGAACTCTGTGGCACTACATTTTGGACTTATTCTCGGTTCAACGATGGTCCTTTCCTCTGTGCCAGAATGGCGATTCCAGTAGGGCGCGCTTGCGCTGACAAGACTGCCGGATATGTGTGGCAAAACGACACATGGATGTGAACATATATAATACTGCAGATTTGCATGTCACTTTGGAACATGCACTGCTATGGGGGCCATGCTGCATGCAGAAGGCGAAACTCACAGCTGCGCCTCTCCACCCAGAGATAGCAGCACGGCCATGACTCTCCACTGCCTGGGACATTCTGTAGTTATTTATAGACATCAAGATCTGTGCAACCCAAACTCTGCTTGAATGTCGGATCCTCACGTGGAGGAACCAAACCATGCAGCTACTGTACCAGAATCCATGCTGCATCCGTTGTTGCAAAAGTTCCTGTTAGTGCCAACAAAATATTATGCACACAACAGTATTTGGAGTGCTGGACGACCATGGCACATTCCATTGGCACTCAGTCAAACTGAAATCTGAAAGCTGGAGGTCACATCTCCAGGGTGGTGGGCCAGTGGTCGTGTCCATGCCTGAAAGTTTCGCCTGACTCTCCACTTGGTGGGCTCACTAACTCAGCCAAACTCTGGGAAACAGTCTTGCCTAGTGAGGGATGGCATCAGTCCAGGTTCCATACCGATCAAACATAAAGTTGGTCATAGTACAATGCAACAGTATGAAGGTTTGCTTCCAAAAAATCTCAGTTCTAAACGTTTGCTCCATTCTGCACTCTGGCAATTGCACCCTTGCACATCGAACTACCATTGCTCAGGGAGCGCAATACCTACATTCCACCCATCTACAAGAATCCCGGTCTCCCAACATCTAACCATGCCCATCCTATGTACTCCATGCAACAGTGCTGTCGATTGAGAACAGGCAGCAATGTCAAGAAAGAATCAGTGATCAACAGAGTATAAAAACGAACATGCATCATCTTCTGACAGAGCCTTCCAGCTCTTCATTGTCCACCACTGCAACTGTGCCTTCCTCCACAGGCTTTGAAATCTGTCGTGGAACTGGTCCACGTTGCTGTTGGTACCGCCAAGTCAGAATAGACGCTCGCAATATCAACATTCCTGATTGACACCACCACACACCTGGCAATCCCCAGCCCAAAGGTTCAACCAGAAAAAGAGCAGTGCACACACACACTGCAGCGGATGACATAGAGAACGCAAGAAATCTGAAGTCCTTGGCCCCGATGAATATGCCATCATACACATACGCAGCTGAGCTGATTGGCAACACGAATGTGGCAATGGGTGCAATGCTGTAAACAGCTGTGGCAACAGTCCCGTCACTGGTAAAAATGGAAGGAAGAACAGGAGATGCAGCTTGCAGGAAGAAGGTCCAGAATACCCCTAGAGCAATCCCAAACTGCAAGAGCCTGTCTGACAAGCCTCTAGCTTGTCTCATGTCACCCTTCCCCAAAGCAACAGCCACAAGACTCTGTGCTGAGACGGCCAAAGAGTCTGTCGTGAGTGAATGCAGGAGCCAGAACTGGGCTACGACCTGGTGGGCAGCAATATTCACAGGTCCCAAGTGTGTCGCAACTGACGAAGCAAAGGTCTTGGTGAAGAGTAGAACAAATGTGCGAAGCAGCACTGTCCCCCCAGCCTGAAAGCAACATCAGTACAGGGGTCAGGGGCCCACGGAAGGGCATATGCTACCATAAGCAAAAATCTCTAGCAATGTTGGCCACCGAGAAACAGCTGCTTTGCACCATGTATTGGCCAATGCATTGCAATGGGACAGCAGAGCCGCATTTTCTAAGTTCTCAGGTTCCTCACAGTTGCAGTGGCAGTTGTCTACTCTGCAACAGATGCCCAAGAAACTAGGCCACAGCCTCCAATTGGTATCTGAGATGGAATGGTGCACACAAGTGCCACAACGGACATTGTATGCCTGTGTGAGGTTCCTACAGCTTCATTGGCACTTCCAAGAAGCAATACAATAAGCTGTCCCTCCCTTAACTTCATGCAAATGCATGAAACGTGCTTGCCATGAGAAAATGCAGGGTCTTGTGTTTGCAAAGGTGATAACAGAATGCCCAACCTCTATTTTCATATCAAGACTTTCTCACCTGCAGAAATGGCAGGTAGTCAGCCTGTGCCCTCCTCACAGCAACACTATACGAGCAGTCAAGTCCCAGTGTCTCCCTCTCCCTCCACAACACCATGACATATGCTCCGGCTGACAACCATTCAGCTGCTGTCGTGGCAACAGCTGCTCCCCTCACCCCCAAGTCAAAACTATATATTAAAATAGGGTCCAGGACAAGGTTGGCAGCATTGGCAAACAGCGTGATTAGCAGTGGCGTCTTCATGTCTTGAAGACCACGCAGGACTCCAGTTCCAACAAGCACAACAAGCACGGCAGGTGCAGCAAACGACCTGACAGGGTGAGCACAGAGCTGTCATTTGAGGTGAGCAGCAACGCACTGTCCAATATGCCAAGGTTGCCAGTAGCACAGTGTCCCACTTGCACACCTAATTTCCATTCTGAACACCCAAACGCTGGACGCCTATGTGCCCTCCAACAGACTTGTGCTGGTGGCCTCTGAAGCAAAACTGGCAATGGCTGCAAAGTGTTGAACAGCTAACCAATGCAAAATGGCACCACTACAGCACTGGTAAAAAGTGGATGATGTCACTTAAACACAGGCATGCTACTCTGCACATTGGACTCTCTTGTAAGCTAGGCTGTATTGTACTTTGCACTGGGGATGCACACACTGCTTCTTATTGCCTCATTGGTGCTTGACCATAATTTACCACTGTTTACAAAAGCAATCAAAGCAATAACATCAGTACGGGGCCTTTGGACGAACGTACAAGGGCAATACAAAGCTGCACAGCTATTGGGGCAGAGGCTGAACAAAAGCAGGCGAGAGCCTTGCTTGGTAGCCTGCTTGGCTGAAATAATCACTGTGGTCCACTTCGATTTCTGATCAATGATGCAACATTTATCAGCTCGTTGCTTTGGGCAATTTCCAGGCTGCCAAGAAATCCAGTTTCAAATCATGGATGCTGTTCAACACAAGGTCGTTCCTTTTTATTGAAATCATCACACCCCTGCCAGTGACAGAACCTCTGACTGACCAGTGAACACGTTGTGAAAGAAATTACCAATGCAAGGCAGCAAATGAACAGCAACCAGCTCACCTGGCTACAAGGTATTCTTTTGCTGGTGCCAACATGCTTCCATCTGCGCCCATCACACCCAGGAACCAGTCTTGACCTATTACTAAGCCCCCAAGAAGGGATATCCCCAACACTCCAGCAAGGATCAATCCTTGAATGGTCACCTGGCCAGCCTGGTACAAGCAAAAGATGTGATTTTTAAACGTGATATCACCAGAAGTGAGCCAAAGTAATGCAAATATGCACCACGGCCTGCTGATTGATAGTTGCTGTTGCGGCTCATAGAAAATGGAGCCGTGTTTTTCAGGATCAAGAGTTTGGAAGGCACCTTTCAAGGATAAGTTCTCAGTGTGCAAGCTTTCCCATCACAACTGGTTGCCATTCTCAGCTCTGCCAGAAGCACATAGACTGCTACAGGTCAGACAGCAGGAGTTCCAGTATCCAAAAGACGCCCTACACCATCGGTTTTGGGGCCCCTGACACTACTTTCTAACTGCTACTCACCTTGTCCTTGTCTTGCGCAGCGACAGCTGTTGCGACGAGTGGTGTGGTTGTACTGGCCAAGAAGTTGAACAAGAAGAATGCCAGGGAGTACAAGGCAGTGTTCACACCCAGGGCGCCCTGGCGAACCAAAAAATGTTCTCTTCCTCAAATATCTGTCACACAGCCTATTAGGGTCAACAACTCTTGGAGCTTCACACAATGTGGCTCGACCATTTGTCAACTCACCAGTTCGTTGGGGCCCAGGCGGCCAACAAACATTGTGTCAACCTGAACCAACAACACAACGAACCTGTAAGGCAGCCGGCTATCAATCAAATAGAAACGCTCGCAAATTCGCTCAGAGAGGCAAGCAGAGCAGAGCAAAAGCTGTCGTGATGCTCGGCATTGCGCAACAGCATATCCATGTCCTTACAATAGAAAGCAGAGGATCCGCAGCCAGCGTCAAAAGAGCAGGGACTGCCAGAGACATGATCCGTTCGTCGTATGGGGACTGCAACGCTGCCTGCAATTGTCGCCAGCGTTCCTGCAAACTGTCGCGTCCTTTCCCAGAACCGCCGATCTTGCCGTTGATTGGAAGCCAGGGAGGCAGCCGGGTATCCTGGGCCCGGTGCGGCACCTTGTCTGAAAGCAATGCAGAGTGATTGCCAAAAGTGAGGATCAGCACACTCGCTGCGGCCTCGCTCGCAGGTTGCCATTTGCGACTGTTCGGCTGCCGTGCAGCCTGGCGTTTCCCAGCCCGCATGCGGAGAAGCCTGCGCGATCATTTGGCTGCGCTCGGTCGTACTTCCGCGCCGACGCACTCACCCTTCCATCGGACACCCTCTTTCGCGCAGTAAGGGAGCGTGCAAGGGAGCCGTTGCCCACGCCTGACGCCCCCCAAACGTCGACGCGTGCGCGGCCACCCTGCTTTCATGTGCGACGGCAGAGAGCGGCTTCGGCGCGTCACCAGAGGCTCAAGGAGACGGCCGACATGCTCCGGTGTCGGCAGGGCCATAGCTAGGGCCACAGAGTCCAGTGTCGCCGCGGTGGAAGGATGAACAGCCCCCCCCCACCCCCCTGGCAATGGCGCGCCCCTCAAGTATCCATGTGCACCGTTGACTTCTGTCTGCGGTCTGTTGGTGGGCGGCAAGGGCAAGTTGCCCCCAGCTGATGTGGACCGCGAGGTCGTTACGTACTGCTGGATGTACAGCAACGCCAGAGCACGCAAGTGCGCCACTTCGGGCAACTTCCTGCTTGAGTGAGCCTACCTGCCCGCGTGCAGGCCAACCATGCCGTTGTGGCTGGCTTGCCCTGGTGACTCAAATCTTCCAACCATCCTCTCCTTCCAGGCCTTTCTTTATGTTGAACAAATTGGTTCGCCCTTCGGCAGTCCTTGTTGCCTTTCAGAACTGGTTCGTATCAGAAAACGTCCTAAACTACTGACAATAATTCCATGAGGCCCAGCTGCCAAATTCTCTTGACTTTGTAAAAGCGTTTTGAGCCTGATGGCAGCAATTCTGCCTTCTTCCGATCAATATGAGTGTGCTTTTCACCCAGAAGCGCATCGGGTGTTTTTAATTACTGGTTTCCAAATCGTGTTTTCACCATATGCCATGGTGTTATGTTCCACTGTCGGTCGCCTTGTGTCGCATGGCCATCACGCTTATCCTCTCGAAGAGGACAAGGACCTTTGCTTGGTCCCTTCACCACTACCGTGTTGATTGTGCGATGGGGATTGAGGCTCCATTCAAGTGATCGACTTTCATAGTGCTTATGCACCAATTGCTAGAGTCTGCTCCATTGCAAGTATAAGTGCCGCATTTCTTAGGCAATCTTGTGCCTCGCCATCCCAGATCTTGATTTTCCGTTTAGAGCAACGCGGTAAAGTATTGTACTGTGTGGATTTGAGGCTAACAGAAAACTGTTCTGGTATCGTACTGCAGTACGTACTGCCCACATATGGAATCAAAATGAGCATGCAAATAGTGAACATGACGGCAAAATAGTCTCTCATAGGCTGTCCAATTTCCAGCCTGATGCGCCTGTTACTGGCTGAGATATGTGCAAAAGGTGGGTCGGTATCACCGCGGAAGAGAGTGCACGATGTACCAGCAACTCGAGTACCAAATCTCCCAGCCTCAAAAGCAGTTTATGACTAGCTTCGATAATCGGAAGAAATCAGCCACCTCAGCATGAAGCATGCTTCTTACTTCCTCTGTCCCACAACAAATGTCCCGTGGGATGCCATCATCTAATGACATTACAACGTTGTTTTATGCCAGAGCCTAAATAAAATATTTACAAAAACCCTTTTGCACTCACAGTTATGTGTAGATTATGATGTCCAAAACATACATCGAAACTCAAAATGACGGAAAACTGATAAATGTTGACACCCCACTAATCCGGTCAATAAAGGGCCGAATTTCACAGACTTCATGAAGCAACGAAGAATTGACATGGCAAGGGAGCCTCTTTCAGCCAGCGGATAGGACCAAGCTTATAGAACTTGGCAAGGTCAGAGCTACTTCATGTGCAGGTCGGTGCACTCGTGTTAATGAGACAGGGGTCGTGGAAACGGAAATGCGAACCACCTGATTTTCGAACGCCCTCCGAACGTCGCTCTTTTACCCGAAAAGCCCCTCTTGCTGGTGCGCCAAGGAGCTAGGGAGGGAGTTTTGTTCGATTCTGAGCTGTGCTTGGGATTTCAGGCATTTAGCCTTGCCGAATCTAATGCTTTTGTAGACAATTGCCCCTATTTAATCAAGAATGTAGCTATCGCACGTAGGCAACACTTGTCATTGGACAGAGGGAAGTGTTTTTTTCTGACGACAGGAACATTTGAATCAATGCAAGGCCTGTAGAGTAAGCATAATCTACGCTCGACCTCCAATTACCTACTGCCGATAGCGCAAACCTCCATGCATCAGGCATAAAGAAACTGAGAGAACTCCGTGTCATCATGTCCAAATAAGTTGAAATGTGGCAGGTCATGTAATGTAGATGAACTATTACATTTCTGTGTTGAAAGCAGTAATCATAGATGTGGCCAAAGTCCAGAACTTTGGACGAGCGAAAGATGCCGAAAAAGGGCACTGCATTTAAGCCATTTTACTGTAACGATTTCGAACTGGCGGCATTGGAACTGACACAGGTTGGCACTGCACAGAGGCGTTGGTACAGGAAACGGGAGTCCCTGTAAGAGTGGTCAACATATGCTTTCATGTGGCTTGCTGGTGGGCTAAACTACCAAAACAGTTTTATAATCGGCAATCAGAAAAATGCGATGTACCGGCCCTTGCCTGTACTGTACCAACCTCCCTTGGTTCGTACCGGGCTGGAAAAGTACGGTATGCTACAGGGAGTTTTGGAGTTGGCATAACTATGAGAGCAACAATTGAGCAAACCCTCTCTGGAGAGCACTCCCAAGATGGTGGAACTTCTCCCGCGAACACCCACAAATTCAAAGTGGTGGCCTTGGACAGCACATGTAATACCCTGGTGCAAGGCTGTCTTCCCAATTGCGCGCCATAACCGCGGCGGTGTCCATTGCTTTTCAACTTCAGGTATCCTTCTGCTAGGCGCCTTCTGAAGATGAATCCCTCGGCGGGGCCCACGCCGGCGAGTGGGTGCGTTTTGGATCGGTGTCGTCTACCCTACCCTCTCGCTCCGTTTCGCCGGATCCAACACTGGCGCCGACTGCCATCACCTTTAAAAGCAAATTGGCTTCCCATGCAGGCTCCTGGCGGCCATCCTGTCGATCACCAGTTGCAGGGAACCTGCCAGATTCCGGCGCTTCTGCGGTGAGAGTGGAGTGGCCTCACAAATTCACCGGCAGCAATCGCATCTTATATCGTGCTGCCACAAGTGAAGTACCTCTCCTCAACTTGCCGCCATTCGCCATCAGCATGGACTCCTCGTCCACCATGACATCGACTGGGTGAAAAGGTATCTGATCTGCTGCATCTCATCTGCAGGGAGCTCCCACCATGTTGTAGACCACGAAGATGTGGTTTTCCCGACGAAGCCGTCAATGAGCTCCACGATTGTGCGGTTCATATCAAGCCCCGGGGAAATTCTGGGTCATTCTTGAATCGTGGACAGGCTTGCCAATTCAACATATAAATTTAGGACGCGCATACTGAAAGGCAAGTTTGGTTTGTCCAATTTTTGTTGTCGCGCCTTGCATAATAGTGCATTGTTATGGTTTCTAGAAACAGGACTTCCTGCGGACCCCTGGTGTGAGAGAATGTGCTTGTCCCACAGGGTGGGAGAAGCGAGATGCTGCAGCGCGATCAATCGGGAGAAAAACTGGACGGTGGCACCCACTTGCCTCAGCATGGCGCATTTAATGGCAACAAGCCCAATCCGTATTGAGGACGGTCGTTTCGTTCACATTGTATTGCCCACCTGCATATGTGTCGCCCATCCGCAAATTGCCATGACATGTTTTGGTCATCAGCCAGCCGTCTGGGGCGGTCCTTCTCCTTGCCTGAGGTGTCGCGCTTTTTGAAGGCAGGTGCAGGCCCATTGTCCGGGGGGCCATGCAGATGCGCAGCATGCCTCGAGATTGGGTATTCCGCGACAGACGGCAGGGGGGCATTTGCGGGGCGCAGATGACGGCAGCTGCCCGGCGGCTGCAGACTCGCTGCAAGGCCGACTGCGCAGGCACCCAGCCCTCCTGACCGCCTCTACAGGCACGACCGGTCAAACTGGGCGTCCGCCGCTATGAACAACAACAAGACCGATGAGGCGGCGGTGCTGGCTGGATGCCGAGGCGTCTTTTCGAAGTCTTCCTACATCACGCTGGGCACGAAGGAGTGAGTGGCGGGGGGCGGGCGCCGGCGCTATGACCCAGGACGCCGTGGGCGCTGGGCGAGTGCTCACGTTTTGATACTGCGCAGGAAGCCCGAGCTGTACGGGAAGAGGGAGGCGCAGAGGTCCAACTTCAAGGGGAAGCAGCTGCTGACAGCCCCGCCGCGACAGGGCAGGACCATTGACGTGTACTTCGAGAAGAAGCACCCATGGATATCCGAAGTGAGGCTCGCGACTCCCTCGCGCAAGTACTCGCGCATTTAACTGCTGATACACTGCTTCATCATCATCAGTATTTTTAAATAACAAGGCAACGAGGTAGCCGTCAGCTTCCTATTTTGCCCGAGCGAAGCAGTGTCTATGATCAGTTCAGTAAAATCTAATACAGTGTTTCACGCATGTAAGTGCTGTGTCGCTCGCTTCCCTCGCCGTCAGCGGATGCGTGGGTGCATTGGCAGCGGCACTAGGGATTCCAACCAGGCCAACAGACACTCGGCAGAGGGCAAGCAGCTTTTGCAATAGGTGTCTGCAGCATGACACGCATTCATAGGTCATCGTGAACGGCGTTCCTCATGAACCTCTGCAGCAGTCTGAGACTGTCCAACACCTGCCTGCGTCGCACCTGGCCCACGCCGTGGGGCCTGCATCATTGTGTCACATTGAGTATGTCGTTGTAATGTCATCAGAGATGCCACACCCGAAACCGCTGCACAGTCCGGGTTGATGAAGACATTGGAAACCGTACAGTTTCAAGGCTCTGATGGCCTCCCATCCTGCCCCTACTGTCGACGTATCGTACTTCCTGGTTCGGTGCAAGCAGATTCAAAAGCAGCACTAAAGGAAAATGTCGTCGATGAGTGGGGCTGTGAACTCTAATTTGTGTCCAAAGCAAGGTGAGTGCTGTAGGCATTCACCTAATGCGTCGAACAGGAGCGCCGCCAGTTGCAGACTTGTGGCTTTGTTGTTTCTGAGCGCGGCCGTGTCCTCCTCTAACACACTAGCCATCGTGCAACAGGGGGACAAATATGTTGACAGGCTGCTGTATGCGAAGACACAAAAAGAAAGGAAGAAAGGGTTCCTGACGGGTGATTTCAAGCGCCGAGACGAATTTTCATCTGTGTTCCGCACGGAGCAATGGAGAGAGCAGCTCAAGGTCCGCATGGATGTTGAATCTTGCATGAGCAAGGGCCGGGGCATTCGGGAACTTAACGGAATGCTGACGTGCTGGGTCTCATGCCGCAGCAAGAGGACACATTCGCGAAGAAAGAACTGGCCATGCTCTCTGAGACGGGTCCCACGGAGGCCTCGGCACCAGCTGCAATAGAGCATGGTCTGGAGGGCTCCAGGGAGGAAACGGTGAGTCATGGCTCAGGCACCAGCGAAAACAGCGACTATCCGGCAGCGCCACACCCACCCCTTGTTCGGTGTTAAGCAGTACCAAGGACCCAGCAGCCTGCAAGCGAAAAAGCAATTTTCAGGCGCTAAAAGCTATTCCCTGTGCAAACGCCTGTCTACAGCGCTCCCTGTCAGGTGCAGGTGCAGGACTTTAGCCAAAGAGCAATATTGAAATTCCCAGCATTTTGCAGCGGTGTCCATACACATGAAGATTGGTGGAAGGGAAGGCAGCTTTAGATTCGGGCCTGCCTTTTTCTGCGCAGCCGCTGTACGACCTCATCTTTGAGAAGGAGGACCCCACATTCACCGGAGCCAGCAAGATCCACCGTGACACCCAGAACCCCACGATGCTGTCCAAGTCGCGCAATTGGGGGGGGCTCTTGACGACATCGATGCTGGCCCATGGGCCACCTGACGACTTCACCAAACCGCAGTTCGCCAGAAAGCCCATTGTGCGAGACACGTTCTACAGGAAGACAAACATCTTCTTTCCGGACAATTGCGCAGCTTCGGCAGCTGATGATTGATGAAACCTGGGAGCCTGCTCTCAGCATGTGGGGGAGAGGATCAAGGGGACAGTGCTGTTGTAGCTGGTGGCCCAGGGGGCGAGAGTTTTGGCAAAGGGATGCAGAGGGCGTTGATTCAATTCCTACAGCGGAGGGCCAATATTGGAATTGTGGACAGGGTTCCATGGCCATCGTGAGCTGGCAACTGGCAGCTTTCAACGATTGAGCAGCAGCGAGCGAAGAAACGCGGTCATTGTGACGCTCGTGCAGATCCTGTATAGTAGGTTACAAATCATGTGCCGGGCAGAGCGCTGCTCCGCAATATAGTATACACCGCAATGGTACCACATGAAAAGAAATACGGAGGCCAAAAGAAAGAGGTATGGAGGCCACCAGCCAGCGGCCTTCGTCCTCGCTAACGACAGGTTCAACTTTCCTTTGGCACCTTGGCAGTATGGAGGCAAACAGAAAGAGTTGTATGATAGGAAAAGGAACACCGATTCAGCAAGTGACCTTTGCCCATCACTCCCAACTAGTTCAAATTTTCTTAGGCACACCCCACAAACCCCTGTGCAGCACCAACACCACTTCGTTCTGTCACAGTGTCGTCATAATCCACCTCCCTGCAGCTTCTCCGCTGTGTATACAACTGTTCTGTCTTCAAACTCTTCGATCAGTGCAAACGTGTAAGCCTGAAGAACACAGCCCACACATCAACTCCTTGACTGGCTGAAAGTGGCACATCACTGCCGTTGCACCTTGCGTGGCGATGACATGTACAATTTTCATTAATTTATATCCCAATTGTCAGCAGGACAATAGCAGCAGCAAAGTACAATCTGGTGTGTCCACCTCGACGCCATGCCATTCTTTCAAGTGTCAGGCACCGTGGCATTGAAGACATTGAAGAGCAAGTGCATGTACATCAGTAACTGATGCATCAGAGCACACTGATGCTCACCACGTTCCCATATGAAATCAGCCACGGAGCCCAAAAAACGGCAGCCTTGCCAGCTGGTGTGGGAATTTCCTGTGCAACTATACATGTACCAACACATTTAACCAAGCTGTTGTTCATCCATTGATGTCTGATTTCTGGCCAGGTTTTGATGGCTTGCACTCACTTGTTGGCCATCCACAGGACTGGATTCCAGAGGCCTAGATGTGGCTCTGCAGCCACTGAAAGTGCTGATCATCCTCTGCTGAGAGTAAGGGAGCCTCAGTGGCTTCTCCATCCCATGACGCATTTGTGGCTTCCATTTGCCTCTGAATAGCCTCCAAAAGATCACAACGTTGTGTCAAACACATTTATTTCGCACCCAACAACAACTTGCTGGGATGCCATATTGCTTCCTATACTTGCACGTTGCCCAACCTGGGCAAAACGACCATCATCCATCACACGTTGATCCCGGGAGGCATGCAACATGATATTACAGCTGAATACACCCAGCAGAATGGCACCAACCATTGGTGCTATTGAGGAATGCAGTTGTAGTCACATAACACACTGCATGCTGTGCTAGCGTCTTCCAGACCAATTTCAACTTGCACTGAATGTGGATGCTGAGGGAAAACACTGTTTGCTCCTCGTAGACTTAGGTATGTATGCCAAGGCATGCAATTGCAGGACATTGCTATGTGTACCACGGATATCTCTAAAAGAAACAGAATAAGCTGCTGCACACAATTACTGCAGTAATGTTACTGCCACATAGCCAACAATTGTTATGTGGGAGTACAAGTTAATGAAATTCCAGCATGTGTGATCCTCTGAGTTTGCAATTTTGGTTGTACACAAGCAGTCATGCTGCAGATGCTGTGTGTCCCACCTTTGGTAACGTTTTGTAGATCTGCAGGGCTTCCCTTGTGAATGTGCCTGACACCGGGACTCCTGCTGAAGAAGTTTGGGTCGGAAGAATCTGCTAGTGTACAGAGGCAGTTGTCACAAACCAATGGGAGTCTGATCAATGAACAATACCTCAAAGGAGAAACAGGCCAACAGAACGGTTGGGCTTCATCCCGTTGGCGCCCGTTATCTCTGTTCATTACGCTGTGCAGATATAGAAAACCGAACCAGCACATCCAAAAGAGGATGCTGAACAGCTGCTTACATACAAAAGCCCCCACTGGTGCCAGCACTCCCACAATGTGCATCTACCATCGCTTGATTAACCAACAGCGTCTATTCCGAATTTCCCTTTGTGCAAGGCCGTTTTGATTGGCCTGTGACACTGCACTGCCGCCAGTTAACATTCCACATCCATCCCGTCACAATCGACGAGACTGAGGGGCGCACCTAGAATTCTGGAGCCGGCCTGATGCTCTCGAAGTCGGCTGGGGGACGGCTGCCATAGAAACAAGATGGGCGCAGATTCCCACACAGCCGTTCGCATTCAATCAAATCAGAGCATTGGACAGCTAGGACTTTTGCGCGGCTCGCACCACCGCATCGGCTGCCAAGCCAACGCTGACCAGGGACGAAACCTTACGTGGACGGACGAGCCAATCCTTGTTCCTTGCGTGCACGCTGAAATTCCAAAGCCTTGCTGATTTGAACGTCGCTCATGCCGGCGTCTTTCGCTGAAGCAGGCCTTTCTTTCAGCTCGCCACTGCGCCGACCTCCAGCCCTGCTTGCTTGCCAGACGCATGCCCACAACATGGACTGGTGGGGGTTGGCCGCCACCCGCACGACGGGTCCGCGCTGAAGGAGGCTCCCGAAAGTGGAGCAGTCTGCCATTCTGCACACCGCGACGTGCAGCGTTGGGCCAAGTTCACACTGGTGAAACGCAGCGGGGACTCCTGTGGGAGTCCAGTCCGCGTGGCGACAGTTTGGTGCGTGCTGGAAGTTGAGCTTGCGGTGTAGGTCTGGAACGTGCAATCTGTTGAGGAGAACTGCAAAATGTTCGCCATGAATGGTCGATCCGTCTCCAAACTGCAGCACACAACAGAAGCAGAAGGCCCCGAAGTTGGCAACCCCACCCATGACGATCATCACGAGAATTCAACCATCCTAACAGACGAAAATGCCTAACACATGGATGAGCGCTGCAAGCAAAATCGCGAAAATCCAAAATGCACTCCAGAAAGCCGCAGTTTTGTCTGCAGCGATTTTTACCTGGCCGCACCTTTCTTGACACGCCATCAGCCGGGACTGACAGCCGTTGCAATGTGCACATAACTGCAGACTGGGCCTTCGCTGTTTCTTACAAACGGAAATGGGCACCTCCATGCTCGATTTGCACTTCTTGCGCCTAACCGCGCACGAAAGGAGGCGCTGCATGCTCCCTGGGCCCTTAGTCCCTTGCATTTGGCCATTGCAAACCAAAACCCTCTCCTCTCCAAAAGGTGTGCGGGTGTATGTGTGGATTGGTGGTGGGTAGGTAGGTGGGGTGGGGTGGGGTGGGGGCTTGCTTTTGCTCCAATTTGGGGTGGGCGTTGGGTGTCTCCACTCCTCGCCCCCTTTTGCCGATCGAGCTGGCCCCATCTGATGCTCGCATTGTGCGCCTGAGGCGTCCCTCAGCCCTTCATCGCCCTGGCCCCATGCTGTGGGTTGGCTATGACGTATTGGGTGCCTCCCACCTAGCGACTCCCCAGGCATTAAGGCGCCCACACCGCCAGGTATGGTCACGCGCCAGTACGTGGTGCATTGCGTTTTACCTGCTGTGGGCGCTTTCACGGTGCACCTGGGAGCGCCCGTCTTGGACGGATAGGCGCACCCTGTCGTGCCCAACTAGCGTGCAAATTGTGGAAGCAATTCACGTATGGTACACAATTTGCCCCATTTGGCTGGACTGCGGAAATTGTGCTGTGTTGCCGTTTTCTTTCAGGTGCGCTGTGCTCAATTCGACCATCACACCCACGGTTTGAGGTGGTTTGCTTGTGACCCACAGCACGCGCAGATGCAAAAAGATTACGATGCGAAGCACCTAGTTTGTGCCGCCCCATTGCCTCAATGCCTGGCATCGTGTCCTGTGTGAGGGCGTATCTACAACAGGGCGCCAAGGGCGCGGTGTCAACGTAGGAGGCTACCAAACTTGGTATGTGGATGGCCTGAGGCACAGCTTGCCTTTCTCCAATAAGCCTGAATGGTTTATCAACATCTTGTCCAACAACTCCATACACATCTTCACGCAAACCGCAGATGTGGAAACAGTTTCTGAATGGTGACAATAACCAAGGCCCTGCCTAACACTTGTGGCACACAATCCGCGCAGTTTACTGGGGTGGTTGCGATCCGGCTGCATCTTCAGATCCATTGTCCCCTTTGTAGCGAGATGCATATGCAGGCCTGATTATGGACCAGTTGTGTGCACGAGCACAAACGAATGGCATGTATGGTAACAACTCAATGCCGAACTATTACAAAGCAGTGCAGCTATTTGGGCATGGCTACAAAGGAGCCAAGATATGCCCAATCACCCTACTCCAAACAAAGCACCATTAAATCCCCTCATTCCCTGTCATAGATTCCCAATTAGCAGCCTAATTCTAGTCTGCCGTGGACTTGAAATCACGTGTCCCCTCACCAGGTATGAATTCGCACAGGTGGGCATGCCATCTCCATCCAGCCATGTTCACCCTATGATCGGCAATGCCGCGCTCAATCAGGTTCATTGATGGGCATGGTCGCCGTTTGCTTGCCTCCCAGGCTGCACCCATGGCAGCAAAGACCGCAAGAAGACAAGCAGTGGGTTGCTGTTCCGAAGTTCTTCCTCGGTCAACTGTACAATCCCCCGTTGGTTATCTGCACCAGTGGATGAAGCAAAGCACAGTAAATTACATGGAAAACTGCCTGCCGTAGAGACTAGGAGAGAAGCAGCACGTTTGTTAGTGTTCGGCTGCACCTGCTGCTTTGCAACAGTGCATCTACGACACAAGAAAGCAACAGTTTGAGAACTGGAAAGGAGAGTATCATAGGCATGTAAGTGCAACGGCGCTGCCTTAGAAGAGCAACGGCGCTGTATTGGAAGTGCCAATGACTGCCACTATTTCTGAAGTGGGCAGTGGAATCGATACAAGCAGCATCGACACCAGGGACAGAGGGGGCCGCACGACTCATAGAGGGGCCATCATTCCTGTGCAAAGGACACCGTGCACAAACGGTCAAAGCTTGAAGCAAGTGGGTACAATGGGACCATACATTGGATGTTCCAACATAGACACAATGCAGCTTATTTCATTAACCTCCAGCAATCTGAAGCTCCACTTCTCTTTTGAAGGGCTTTGTTCTTTGGCACTTTGCCCAGCAGCACTAGCCATCCCACTTTCGAGATGCTGCGCTGTCTTAGCAAGCAGTCGAAATACACCTAATGACTGTGACAGCGACCGTGTTGACACACCATGATTGGAGGGAACTCATTGTCTTTGAGAAAAAAATGTTCTCTTGCCATGTGTCTAGACTACTGCCCAACGCCCCAGCTCCTTTGGATGCACCTTCTGTTGCTTACACTATACGGTAGCGAAGGAGTCCTGGCTCGGCAAGGGTTTCGTGGCCACGTGCCTCTCTCATATGCATTGAATCAATTGGAAGTATATCCCGGTTTTGCAGGCGAGCAAACCAAACCCCTTTGTGCCTTCCCTGTGCTATTATTCTCCCAACAGAAAATCTGTGCTCCTTGTGTTCCATGGAGGCGATGGGACCCCAGTCTCAGGCCTTGTGGCAGCTTTTCCCAGCTGCCATTGTCATGAATGCAAAGCCAAAGCAAACCAATGCAAACCAGGTGAAAGTGGTGTTGGCAATATCACACGTCACTTCAGTCGTTCGGTAGTGCTGACGTTGCTATTGTAATCATTCTTTCATTCGATCTATCTCGTCAGGAGCGTCACTTGTACATTCCATGGGTCAGCAGAAAAGGGAAAGCGTTCTATTGCCCCGTCAAAGGGTTAAATATGGTACAGAAGACAAAGTACTGACAGTTGACAAAACTAATTCACAACCATCTGTGTTCAGCAAGTCCCAGGGGTGAACCAATGTAATGTGCTGATGGGTTCCATTGTGTACTGCACTACCTCTTTGTTCCAACGCTTCCGCCATTCTTTGCTCCACTCCGGCCATGGCTGCATGTATTTCATCACGCCCCCCACCCATTGCCTCTCTGAGCTCTTCTGCTGGGAGTTGGGGCACATCATCGCTGAAGTCATACAGGTGCAGATGCCGATACTCGTTTGTTCCCGACGGCGGGAATGCCTCGTTTCGAACACAGCACCAATCTGCTGGCACTGTCGTGCCCACTGGAGCACTGCCAGGGGTACAAGCGGCTGCTGCTTGCTGACAGCCTTCCTTGAGCCATGCAAGCACTCTAGGCCCCTTCCACAAAAGATGATTGCGTTCCACAAAGATGTTCACCAGATGGTTCAGCGACGCACTGCTGTTATCCCCTGCACCCGACAATGGATTTTTGGATAGAAGTCCAGTCCATTCCTTGTCAATGCCCACACCTTTCTCTTTCAGTTTGGCCAGCAGACGGACCACCACTACAGGGTACAACAAAATGGCATCAACCAGGGACTGGTCAGCATTATCTTGAGCATTGGCCCCAACTGCACGCTTTGTGCCATTGTCCTCCACTCCAGGGTTGTCAGATTTGCTGCGGGCGGCACAGCCAGGCAGCATCTTGCTGTTCAGGCTTTTTGCAGTCTCTTGCTGCGCTCTCAAGAACTTGGAGAGTGGCACTGAAAAAGCCATTCCAGGCAGAAGAGCCAGGGAAGTAGAAGCATCTATCCCTTCATCGACAAGACGCTGCAGAAACTCAAACCTCCCTATGAAACACAAAACACATCGGGGCACAACTGAGCTACAACACTAAACACACACTCACCTGTTGACCTGATTCACTGATTTTCATGAAAAGGCATTGCTGCAGCACTCAGAGACCGGCCACAGTTGTGAAACGCCCCCATTGGTGAAAACGCTTGGATGCATTGAAGTTCTTGGTTTGTAACAACTCTGCCATTTTTCATGTCATTGGATGGTCATCTACCATCCTACACTGCTCAATAACGTTCAGCGGCCAGTTCTTTTGCGAGCACGTGGGCAACTGGCGTGTGTGCTTCTCATTTCCACGTATTCTCCTTGCTTTTTAGTTGTGCTCATGGCATCAGTGGCACTTATTCACTGCTCAACATTTTTTTTCTGTGCAAATGTTTCCCAGTTCTAAGTACATATGAAGTGCACACACAAGACAGATGTCATACCGAAGGGGGTAGTGCAGTTGCTAATCTAAAAATCTACCTGACCTATCCCAATGACCATATCTCGCAGACAGCATTGTCCGCTGTACCCAGTAGAGAGTGCAATAGTTGCAATGGCTGCAGCGATGCTTGTGACAGCTCAACTAACAGTTCTGCAAAACTAGTAACATGGAGAGTCAGCTGCAATTGACTGTGCCAGTCACCAACCTGCCCTTATTGCCAAGTAGTCAATCATGCACGCAGCACCCATCGGGTCCCCATCATCCAGGGACAGCAGAAGCTTGCAACACTCCAAAGCAGTGCTCAGACAGCTTTGCCGAGTCAGTGTTTGCACGTGGCGGAACAAGGCCATGAATAATGGACGATTCTCTGGAATCTGCACAAACAAGAACTCTTGGACCATGAGCGCTTTACTGACCCAAAATCGCCCATTCCACAGATATGGTACCAGGAAGCCTTGAGCTATCTTGCTTGAATACAACCAAGCAACAGTCAAGATCACACGTGCTGGCCCGGCAGGGATGAGACAGAAGCTAGAAGGTGGTTCACCCATCCACAGTGCTCAAACTCCACGGGGACTGCAGTCATGACAGCACCTTGCAATTCTGCAACTGGCAGATGCAAACTTGCATCAAAAGCAAGGCAAACATCGTGGTGCCCTTGATACACATGCGTACCTTGTAGCTCAGTTTGCAAGTTCCATATGCAGGATTGAACCATGGATGCCATGCACTCTCCAGCGCATACAGACACCGATTCAGCAACTCTTCTGCTGACAGATGTTCTGACATTGCCCTGTACAGATCATGCATGGCAAGTCCTGCTTCCACATGGTATGGACAGCGATTGAGAAGGGCAGCGATGGTGTTGGGATTCGCTGATGCTTGGCATTCCTCAAAAGCATCCTGAATCTGACGATATTGAGATGAATAAACATAACAAAACTTGTAGCACCCAGATTCTTCCCCTGCACCAAGAAACACAATCAGGTGTGTGACTCAGCTGCATCAAAAACGCCAAGGACACTTACCACTGTGAAAGTTTCTGACTCAATAATTTCCCTGCAGTATATAATGGCCAATTCCCCCAGAGGGACCTCATCCAGGGCTCTACATCCTCAGACAGCGGGTGACTCATGCATGCCCAAATAGGCTAGGGACAGTCGGTGCTATCACTGGCTGGATGTCCGGGAGCAGAAATCGTGTGAGCACAGTCCCAGGCACATTCAATCACCCCAGCACTTTTTCCACTGTGGTCAACTGGTTCTGCAACAATGTGGGGGCTCCAGGACCCTGAAGAGCCAGCAGTTCATGTGGGCCCATGCTGCTTGTGATACAATGCATCCTGTGCGCACACAAATATTAGTGTTCCTGTGTGGACCAACCGACTGCTTGCTAGCCACTGCCCATTGTGCTCCAGAACTGATGCATTATCTACACTCATCGCCCTTGCCGTTCAATCAATTGGCTTGCCAAAGTGCGGTGCACCGCCTGCACTTTCAAATATAGTGCCTTCATTACACAAATCTTACCTCTATATTCCATGCTGAGGCCCCCGTCCAAGGGCGGCCAGTGTTCTTGCACTTCAACCAGCCAGAAATTGCGAACTGTTCGCCTCACTCCTCGCAGACCTTTGGAATAACGTTGCCATCTGCGATCACGCTCTTGACGAAGCTGGGCCTCTTCTGTGGCACAGCAGCGGCAGCAGCAAAGCTGTTAGGCCACAACCATTTTGCCAAGACTCCCAGTCACTCTCACACTTTCTCTGCAGCACATTGCTCTTACATGTACCCTTTCACCCGTCTTTTGACTCAGTACAGCCATTGTCAGTAGCCTGCTGCCTACCTGATGCAACAACTCGTGCTCCGAAAATGCGGTAGAGCTGGCAAATTGCACCACAACAATGGTCAGTGCACAAGGAAGCTGATCGGAGCTGCCATACTACAAAAATTAGCAGCAATGGTTGCTGCTGCCCATTCAATATCCACGAAGGCTGAACTGCATTGTGTCACCCAAGGGTAACGGCCCCATGACAGGAACAAGCTCTAGCAAAAAGCACTTGCAAGATGTAAACACACCTCTTCATCTGCACGCAGTGACCCAGCCTCCACAGCAAGCACATGTGCCTTGGACGCCTCTGCAGGTGCGCTGGTGGAACAATCCACATCACACCCTGCCTGGTGGCAGAAAGTGGCAGCCTCAGGTCAAGGACCCCGTATGGAATCAACACAAGATGAATTTGTCACAGGTGACCATTGCGAGGACATGCACGCCCCAGAGATCCAATGCCTGTCATCGGCTACAAGGTGCAAGGGCCGTGTTCTGCACCTTTAAGGCGAACGTGCCAAACGCAATCGATGGCCCAGGGACAGCAGAAGATTCATGGTCCATGATATGAGCTTCCCTGAGGTGGACAGCATGGTCACCCACCGTTTGCAATTTGAGCTCTTCTACCAACTTGTCAACGTCTTCTTCTGGCCTATCACCGCCCCTCTGCTTGTCCTTCCCCGTCTCCTTGCCAGCAGCCTTCTGCTTTCCCCTTTTCCGGTTTCTCTTTTTCTTCCCCGCGGTCGTCTGTGAGGCTGCGGCTGGGGTCAGCTCGCTGGGGGCAACGGGCCCTTCATCGTCGCCTCCCGTGGGTCCCTCATCTGTTGCCTGCTCCTCGTCCTCCTCCTGATGTGCACCATTGGCCTCAAATGCCGAACCCCATAGGCATCTCCGCTTCCGGACCATGTCGAGGGGTCATGAAAGCGCGGCGCCCAGGGCGAAAGGCAGGCGCCGGCGTCGCGTTCTCAGGGGGGTGCCATGAGCAGTTCGCAGAGTGCTCCCGACACAGCAACACGGAACGCCAGGAGAGCAGGGCGACAATCGCCGACACGGAACGCAGAACCGTCCCCGTGCCCTCTTGGCTGTTCATTTCTCTCCTCACCTCCTCCGTTGCAAGGTACTGGTACGGGTTGAAGGTGGGAGGGGCAGAACCGCCGGCGTCCTCGTCTGTGGAGCTGCCTCGATCCTGCCCCGGACCACTGGCCAGCCCCACTTCCCTTTGCTGTCGGACGCGGCGAATATGGCGCGAAGCCATTCAGGGCACGCTGCAGCCGTCCTGGGGGTGAGATCGCACTTCGCCTTGCGGCCGTTGCCCGACGACACCTGCACTCGCTGAATACTGGGCTGGTACCCCTGACCTTATCTGTGAAGCCTGTGTGAAGCCCCTGGGTGATTGATGGGCCTCCATGAGGTGGAACTCTGCGAATTTCTGCAGCCTTTCGCCCTTGCTTGTTTGTCTCTCAAACAAAATGATAAATTTGCGAAGAATTGGCTGCAAAGAAGCAGGGATATCGATGGAGCAGCCCCTGAGAATGAAAGCAAGAAAACAGTGGGGAGATTCATTGACAGCGAAGCTGGGCCCTGTGCTGGCCGCAGGGCAAACCCGCTGCCCGCGATGCGGTGACCCACCAGGGTGATGTGGATCCCTGGGGTGCAGCTAAAGCACCGAGGGTTTTTGGTCGGGGAGTGCGCCTGTGCGTACCAACGCAGCGACCGTACCTTCAACGCGCCACATGCCACAAACAGTGTGGCTATTGTGGCAGGATGTGGACGGCATATTTGCCAAAAATTCTGCCGCCAATCCGAATTTATGGGTGACATGATGCATGCCAGGTTCCTTCTCAGGGGGTTCCGTTTCCGCGGAAACTGGCAGGTTCCATGTCTCGATGAACTGTTAGACACGCAGCACACCTAGAATTTGGAGTAAGGCGGGCTTCGACAACTGCGCTGGGACCCGTAACGCTGCGCAGCATCACAACAGTGGGAGTGGAACCCCGCCCACTGCGTTCTGGACCACCAACTGATGAAGTGTCCAGCGAGGGCAGCCTAAAGCAGTTTGGGCTCTCCGTGAGCGAATGGAGGGGGAGCAAGCTCTGTGCGAGGGACAATCTTCCGGTTCTCTGCGCACAGGAAGCGTGCTGCAGACACTGAACAAATTGGTAAGCCGAGTGCCCTCTGAAGAGATTATGCGGCAAAGGTCCATGGCTCTTGTGTGTAGTGATATGTGGTGAGTTCACGTCCTTGCGTCACGACGGACACGGCGGGACACATACGCACCCCCTTGCTGCGTGCCTATGCGCCAGACCAACAGCGAATTCATCCACCTGACACAGATTCTTAGCCCATGCACCGATTGAGTTTGGGAGGACGTGCTCCTGGCTCCTATGCAGATGCGAAGTTGTCCCTTGCCGGACTGCAAGGGGGGACTGCCTTTGAAACGTGCATGTTCCGCAGTGCGGCAAAAGACCTTGTCTTCAGAGAAATCATATTAGAAATGCCGTTGTTGTGATGGGCAGACAGCTGGCTTGATCAAGATGCACACAGCAGAGGTTTCCTCCTTGAGAAATCTTAATCAGCCAGCATCTATGTGTTTGTCGCCCTGTTGTAGTCGACTGGACTTGTGTCGTGACTTGGCAGATGTCCTTCAGACATGATTGACATTAAATCACCACGGAAGAGAAGTGAGTTGCATATTTGGGAGCTGAGAATGGGATGCAGCAAAGCAGTGATTGCTTGTTGAGTTTATGGATTGTATCTGTTGTGCCCACTGTCCTGGGCACTGAGAAGCAAAGCATCATCTTATGGGTCTGCCGGCAGGTGCTGGAGGGTGTGGGGCTGCAGGCTCAAGTCCTCCAACTGAAGGAAGACCTGCCACCATCATTCCAATTGGATGCCAAACCCAGCTTGGCCCCAGTGCTCTTTGATTTCAAATACCTCCATCATCCATCATACCAGGAGGACAAAGTGGCCTCAAACAAGCAGCTCGTTGCACTGGATGCCGAGTGCAAACAGGTGCAAATTCAGGATCCAGGGGCTCTTGCCAGGGTAGCTGGGGTGTGCTGCTGCACATCATTTTGTGCTTGCACCGGGCCACCAGTGGATACAGTTGTTAAGTACTCATCCTCTGTGTCACAGGACATTCTCGTACACTGAGTGATTGTCAGTTTCAATGTGCATCAGTTGCTGCCTGTGCATCAGTCACAGTATTACTGGGTCTGTTAGACACAGTGACAGATTGGTTGAAAATTGAGTCTGTTCCTGATTTTGCATAGTTCTCATGCTCCTTGAGGAATGTGCAAGAGTATCTATTCTATAACTATCTGTCAGCTCAGCAGGATTGTGTGCGTGTGCAGAACTTCTCTTCCCTGGTTGAGGCAGGATACAGTCTATTTGAGTGCACAGTTCAGTTTCATAGCGAGGTGGCAGGGTTCTTGAGCGACGTTGAAGCTGGGAGATATGTGCAAACCAGCCTGGAGGCCATCATGCAGGTACTTGGCTTCGAGTAAGTGACACTCAATTGAGAAGCCAACTGCTGTTGTGCCTGCCTGTTGTATTACTGATGGTGGACATTGTCTGCTTCAGTGATTGTGTTGTTGCATCCTTGACATAGCACAAATGGCGAATTACCACTCAAGCGATGTGTCTTGGCTGCTTATGAAGTCCGGTACTGTGCTGAACTGCTGGCCTCAGGTTGAGTGTGTTCTTCTGCCAACATTCACATGGCGTTGTGATTGATGCACAGGATCATGAGCGTCAGCAGCTACTGTTGGAAGTTCTGTATGCACTGGCATCACTGCTCCTTTTGATTGATCGCTCCATTCCTGGAGCATTGCGGGAACGAATTGCAGTTGCACACTGCCGATACAAGTGGGGTTTTGAGAATCGACCTCCGACGGCAGAGACAGTGTTTCAGCTGTGCAGACGCACAGGGTATGTTCCGAACAGACACCCCCCACCAGGTAGCAACAAATTGTGGAGTGTTCCAACAAGTTGTGCAGTTAAATAAGCTCAATAACTGGATCTGCGATGGTCCATTTGTGGATTTGCCTATTTCACTGGGCGCGTTTGTTCATTCGTCCACATAACATATTCCATGTTTCCCAACCTGATAGCCAAATGAGGGTGAAAAAAAGCATAGAGATGCATCTGTATGCAGTGCTGTGTTTTGGATGTGGGAGTACACAGGCAGTAGGGACATTGAGATCGAAGTTGACACAACAGTGCAACAGATGACAAGAAATCAGTTCTCCCTCACATTGTGTAGTGTTCTCCTTGTCAACGTGAGGAAGACCAAAGCCCCTGGGGCATCTTCTTTGCTTGGTGGGTGATAGAGTAGACCACCTGATAGTGTGCTGCACCTCAGCTATGCAGGACACTACTGGCAGTCCTGAACCAGCAAAGCTGCACAGGAGATCTGATTGTCAGTGAATTATGCACAGGGTACCCTGAGGAGTACTTGACACGGTTTCCACTCCCTGAGCAGGCCATCCGCTTTGCCATCGGCTGCTTGTTGTCAGCAGATGTGTACTCCGCCATACCACACTACCCCAACCCATCGCACCGCACCACAGCTCTGTCTACCCAGGCCTCGTACGCCTTTGTGTTGCTGTTCTATGTTCCTCAGATACTGCACAGAGATGCTGGTATCATGCAGAAGGTTGTGGAGCGTTTCTTCTCTGATCGCTGGGTGTTGAGCTGGGCCCCTGGGGAAGTGGTTGACCTGGGGCATGAATGGACGAACTTTAGCAGAGCTCGGGCAGCACTCAGTAGGGCGATACCACCCGCCAGGGCAAGAAAGCTACGACAACAGCAGCTGGAACGGGTTGGGGGTCTCGTTGGGGAACTCAACAGGTATGTTGGCTCCCTGTCAATTGGATTGTATCAGGCGTGGGGGATGTGGATGGAATGTCAATGCACTGTAGGAAGGGAAATTGTTGCTACCACAGGGCTGGAATGTGGGCGGTTGAGTTTGCTATCTTGTTGCCACTGAGTGCAAATAGATTGCCAGATGTAACCCCTAGGTTGTTCCGATGTTCACAAGTTGATACAGTTGCCTTTCACAGAATTTCCTGTGTGTGCTTGCTCTCCTGTTGTTGATTGACTTGCCTTTGCATCAGGTATCTTCGGGCTGGAGGACTGCAAGAGGACGTTCTGCTGCAGCAGAATTCTGACATATTCAGTCTCATCCGTGAGGGTAACGTCACAGCACGCTGGATCCTTTTGCATGGCTTCTCAACTTCGCGCAGGCAACAAAGCAACTGCAATGATGTGGCTCAGCTCATTTTGAACCTGGCTGCATTTGAGTATGAAGTCGGAAAGCGATACAAGCAGCTGCTGGACACGAGCCAAGCCAGGAGAGCCAAGAGCTGTCAGATTGTCAAGGAAAACCTACGGTATGCTGGGATAGCGTGTGTTGTAGAACAAAACTGTTGTGTCAAGTCCTTTTGGTACAAGATGGTCATGAACAGCTGTCTGCAGTGCTTGCACGATGGTAGTAGTAGGCAGCGCTCCTGTGCCAGGTGGAACCTGTCTCATGATGCAGATCCTTTGCCTGTTGATGACAAGGTTCTCTGGGACAGCCTTGATTCTTGGAAGTTAAAACCTCTAGTACAACAGGCGGTCTATGCTGTTACTGTGTTCAGATAATTGCATTAGTTGTTAATACTGGCGACCATCCTCAACCTAGAGCAGCCTGCATGGAAAAGATGAACTGTGGTTTGGCAAACGGCATGGGAACGGCATGAGTTGTGATTAATTCAGCGATTGTGGTTTTCGTGAGCCTCATTTGTTTGCTGCCTTGGAAACGCAAGCAAAAATGGTGGTATCACTGCTGCAAACTTTGTTGCAGGTGCCGCAACAAGTGTCTCCCCATTTGGGAATGGCATCTGATCCTCTCGCTGAAAATCCTGACCAGCTGTGAAAGGCTGAGCATGGAAACATAATTGTTGATCATGTAGTGTGTGCTCCTTTCTGTCAGGAACCTTGCAGAGCTCTGTCGCACCCCCCCCAAAGGAAGTTCGCATCAGCGAGAGTCACACCTGGGTTTCTGGCTGCAACGATGTGAATGGGAACTGGATACCCTTGGCCAAGACTCACCACGCAAGACTGCTGAGAAGCTGCGGTCTCTTCGACGAGCCGTTGAGGACATGGGGCATTTTGGTAGACTAGAGAACCTGGCACCACGCAGCCCACGCCTTGTACAAGAAATTCTGAGTAACCTCAAGCTCATGATCCAGTTTGCTAATGTCAGCCAGGTATACATGCGAACTAGGCCAGAAAAGCTGATGCTGGAGATGGAACACTGATTGTTGTGGTGTGAACAGACGATGTGGAACGCTCTCTTTGGCTGCTGCATTTGGATTTTCCACGTCAAGATGACTATTTGCTAGCATGCTTGCTGTGTGGACTGGAATGCAAGTGGCATAGAGGAGGATATGTGGCAGAATATATATTCACTATTGAATCCACTGATGCAGGGGCTGCTTGAAACGTTGAGGGTTGTGCGAGAGTTTTCCTATGCTTTGAAACTGATGCTGGACGATGAGGCTATCAGGCAGCTCAGGACGTTGACATCGAGAGATCCCAAAATGTTGTGGAAGCTTGGATGCCTTGTGTTGAAGATGAAAAGTATTATGGATGTACCTGTCATCTGCGGGAAGTCAGGTGAGGTGCACAAGAACTTCAGTGACAGCACCCATCATTGTTCATGGGCTCATGTTTTTGGAGAGGAAGAGTGCATCAACAGTGACAAAGGGTGGGGAGGGTGGGGTGATGGGTGGTGGTGGGGGTGGGGGGTGGGTGGGGGAGGAAGTGGTGCCGCTCTCACATGTTTCATTTGGATCAGTCCCCCCAGGAGGTGTGTTGCAGTAGCTTCGTGAGAAGCATGGTCACAGGAAATGGACAACTAAGGAAGTGATGCAATGGTTTGGGAGTATTTGATGGTGGGTACCCATTAGCTTGCATGCTGTGTGCAGGGGACAGGGAGCCACATCCAGCCATGTTGCAATTCCTTGACAGCAAAGTGGTGTCCTTTGCTGAAGCAGTGGTCGATCATGTGCCAATATGTGTATGCGAGGCCCTGGACAGAATCGCATACATCCACGCCCGAGTCATCAACAAGAAACCAGACGTTAAGCAACAGAGCGTCGTTCGAAGGAGACTGATGGAGGACAAAAGCAAGGACAACGATGCAGAGGATGAGGAAGGCAATGGTGATGCCTATGGCAGCCTGGTGAAGCTCATTGCACGAATTGCCAAGTTCTCAAAGGTGCGTGGGACAGATTCTTCCTAAGAAAGTTTAAAGAAGAGAAAAGTACCCTCTGAAAGCTGTGTTTGGTTGCCATTGGCCAGGTAAATCGTATCCAAACGTCCTGTCAAGTGTCCCATTGTACAGGAATTGCCATGAAGCCTCTGCAGCTTTTCTTACATTTCCACTTGTCCTGCCCAGGGTGTCACCGCCATTGAACAGTGCTTGGAAGGTGCAGTGTCCTTGAGGCTTCGCCATGAGCTTGAGGAGCACCTGAGGAGGCACGTTGCCAAGCGGCTGGCTGTGCTGTGCCACCAAGGCATGTATTTCAGCAACACAGCACCTCCATTTACATTTGCCAGCGTCAGCCTCCATGGAGCTGCCTTCACATCAGGCAAGACATTTTCAGGTGAGCGGATTTTGCACTGTGTGCTTATGAAACAGTTGTTTGGTGCTAGATTGTGTTCTTCTTGAGACAGGAATTGGCATTTTGGGAAGCCTGCTAGCTTGTGTGCACAGTCTGGCATGCCTTGCCCTTGCACCAAAAACTGTTTTACAGGCCCGTTTAATGCAACGCACTGTCAGACAGCACCACAGTGAGGTAGATTTGATCTGCAGGGAATGGAATGTGTTGTCCAAGCTGTTTGTTGTTGAATATCTTGGCATGGATGGTGTGGATGGCATGGAGGGCATACCTGTAGGAGCAAGGATTATGACTGTTTCATGCATGGCCATGTTTTGGACTGCATGAATGTTTGTAGTTTGCAAACATGCACTGTGTGGTCAGGGATGGGTTTGCATCGCCAATGTGAGAAGGCTGTCGTTACGTTGCCATCCACAGGAAAAATCTCAGGCTGTCAAGAGTTTGAAGAGAAGTTGACTGAGCTGAGGGACAGTCTGGGGGCTTATTGCAAGGCTCTGCTGTGTGTTCAAGACTATCTCAGGATCTCTGGCTTGAGTCTGTGGAATGACGAACTGGCACTCGTTATTGCTGTGAAGCTGCAGGAGGAGTGCCAGTCGATGGAGCAGGGTTTGCCTTGTGAAGCTGGTGCTTCTTCAAAGAGAGTGGTCAGTGAGCACCTCTGAAACTGTTCCACTGTAGTTTGGTCCTATATTGGTCTCTTGCTACCGCATCCAATTGCCAATGTGTGAGGCCATTACCTCGTCCTTCAGATGCTGTCTGGCCACAACTTTCTGGCAAAAGTCACATTTGCAGATCATGCCCTGCTACGAACTGTTGAATTGTTCATGCTTCGACTGCCTCTTTTTGAATGTCCTTTTCAGGTGAAGGGTGACAGCGACTCTGCGGTGACTTTTCTGGGTCGCCTAAGTCGGGAGGTGATACGCCTAACATCTCCAGCAACAACACACTTTTCCAAAGGTGGCAACTGCTGGTTGGATGCAGAGGGCAACACAGTGTTCGGCATGGAGAGTGTTTCCACAATTCGTGCGTGCATTGGCAGCCGTGGCCTTGCAGCCCTGGATGCTCTGTTGTCCGCAAGGCTAAGCTCGTTGTTTGACAGATTGCACAGTAAGTGCCTTGCCCTGCCCTCCAACAGACTAGTGCATTTATCAATTTTGTGTTGGTTGCTGTATGGTCATGTGGTGGGTGCTCATTTTACTGTTTGTATGCCCCAGCTTGTGCTGTGCTTTCAAGGTAATGGCTCTTGTGGGTTGGCACTGGCCAACTGCAACTTGCAAGCACAGAGGGGCTTAGGCCACAGCATTCGCATTCTTGTTGCTTTTTCGTCATGAGCATTTGATCTGCCTGGTGGTAAAGCTCACCATGATTTGCAACGCTTGTTGTATTGCTTCAACAATACAGGTGGTTGCTGTTGGATTTTCCCAAATCTGCTTCTGATTTGTTTCGACTGTAAACAGGATATTGCAAAGAGGTTGTGAGTCAGTCTGCAGACTCCACTGATCGTTGGGCACACCAGTTGGCGGATTGTGAAGGCCTGGAATTCCCACAAGGTGGAGCTGCATGGTATGTCAACACAGTCAACAGTGTTGGCAAGCGGTTTTGGGCACCGCTGTTGGACATCATGGCTGCCATTGGACAATCCCAGCTCTTGCGACGGCTTCTTGCACTGGAGCTGCAGAACGGGTGCATGTGAGTTGGTGATTGTCTGTACCTGGTAGTGCATTGCTACAACAGTGCACTGCTTCGAGTTTGTTTCTAAATGATCGTTGACTGGTGCTGCTGCTGTCCAATAGTATTGGAAGTGCCAGGTCCATAGGGCCAGGACAACTGTGATGGAGCCAAAAGCATCAGTATCTCTAACTGGGAACAAATCACTGCAATGCTGACCATCAAGTTCTAACATGAACAACTGTGTGTGTGCTCCTTCTGCACCAGGCTTGATGCCCCTGCCTCATTGTCACGGTCTCTCGCTGGATTGCAAGAGCACATTCAAATGAGGATGTTGGCCGAGGATGATCGTGACCTTAGTGAGGATGGTCCGATCCTCAGCTCAGAGGACACCAATGTTGAGTCAGATGACCCAATCTGTTCAGGTCAGGAGACAGGGAATGCGGCCACCAGCGGGGCAGCCAGTGACACAGGTGGAGGGCGCAGCATGGGCTGCGCATCTGAACTTGGAGAGGTGCCAGTCACCACCGCTGACCACCCTATTTCTGTGAACCCAGTTAGAGTAGATGTGATCGATGTTGCCTTGCGCACTGAAGGGGGAGAAAGACTTGATGATGGATTGCTTGCCAATGGTGCACTGCAGCATGCTGAGGATGCACACGCAGGATCGGAAAGCGCTGCGGCTGGCATCCAGGATGAACAGGTGTGTGTTGGCATGGAGGGCAACGGCGCTGCCAGCGGAGAAGCTGCATGCACTGGCCAGGCTGCTGACGATGAACCCAGGCCACCCTGTGCACCCTCTATGCAGACGAACTTCAACACAATCCCTACCGCCACAACAGAAAGCTCCACTCAAGACTGCGGATGTCCATCTCCTTTCACCCAGGGGCCCCCCAAGGGGGCAGCGTCGATGGATGATGACAGTGCCGCTGGCCCCATCTGGCGACCACCAGACGATGTGGAGGGTGGGAATGCCCCCGCTATGTGCGAAGCCCCATGGCCAATTGCCGACGCAGGCAGAGAGTCAAGGTCGATACGAGTGCGCCGCAATTCAGATTCCCCCTTCATGGGGCGTTGGCGCTCTGAGCGCTCCATGGCCTCTTTGGTCAGAACACCAACGTCAAATTCCAGTGTGTCTGCCATCTTGGATCCGTCCTTGAATCGTGCGAACTGGGGAAACGTGAGGCAGTCATGGAAGCACGTCAACAGCGAGGGGTCGACAGCGGGCTCCTGGCTTTCCAGTCGCTTGCTCAGTCAGGGATCCATCACATCATGGGCGCGCTCCTGGATTTCCTTCATCGATTCATCGTTCTTTACAACTCCCGCAAGCGCCTGCGACCTCAATGAGTACCCCATGCCTCTGGACCTCTCTACTCCCTTGGCCCCGGAATTCTTGAGTCCTGTCGTGTACAGCCTTCTGCAGTCCACAGGCTTTGTAGACCCAATGGCCATCCGCTACACGTCCAAGAGCCGGCCCCCCAGCCCGGAAATTCCTGCTGTCTTGTTCTTGGCCATCTTGTCTGTCATCAACAGATATGAACTGCGATCCTATCGATTGATGCGACCCCTCTGTTCTCCAGTTCCAGATGCCGGATCGTTCATAACTGGCCTCGTCACCATTCTATCCCAGTACATGCAACTTGTGACGGACCAGTTCCTGCAGTACATAGGGCAGTACCTTCGGGCATATCTCAAGACAGCCACAAGTTCGAGGGCCCAGGGCATCGAAGCGGTGGGTGTGGAAATAACCCTTCCCCAGGAGGTGCGACGCATGGTCGTTTTTGTGGACGAGGTGTGCAGGACAGCCGGGTGGCCAAGGTCCCGGGCGCAGAAGTTCATACCCCCGTTGTTGATGCAGGCATGGATGATGGCTGAGCCTGGAAGTGGCCAATGTGAGCGCCAATGTGATGGCTGATAATGAAATTGGATGGCTCCATGCATCCAGACGGCGCCCCTTGGTGTGCCGCAGTGCTGCAGTGCCAGAAGCCTGGTGTAAATGATGGCAATGCGTGCCAGGGTGGCCATTCTGATTTGAGGAATCTTGAACGGAGGGTAGCACGGAGCAAACGGGGTGGGGCGGCTGCAATGCGATGAAGACATGCAGACATGTGGGGCCATGCACCAGCGTGGCGGAATGCCAATTCCACCTGGGGCATGCGGTCAACATCCTGTCTGTGCTGGACGCCTGCACGTAAGCGGAGGCCAAACTGAAGGGAGGGGGGGAGGGGGAGGGGGAACCAGGCTTGCATATGAATGTGAGCTCCCCTTGTAAATGACTACTGTGCGAGGGAACTCACAGAAGGTTCCTTGCTGCTCGACAATGATCAACAATTCTCCACAAAGGGTCTTGGGAATTCATACCAAGGTGTCCAGACCTCCAGGAACCATTTCTCTTCTTCCACTTGTAATGAAGCGTGGTGTGGCTTCTTGCTTCCCAGTCACGCTGAGCCAAACAGGCAGGGTGAAGCGCAAAGGCCAGACACAGCAGGCAGAAAGGAAAGTGTTAAACTGTCGTTAGTCATGAGCACCGATACATCAAAGGCGGGTTCATGACCGACATAGGGCAGCTGACTGGGCCATTATCAAACAACCAGTCAGGGAGAAAATGAAAAGAGGAAAGGAGAGAAGAAAAGAACAGATACATTTTGCATACAAAATGCAAGGGAGAACTGTTAAAATGATGTGAACGGCAAATTAATAAAACATCAGATGGTAGCTATGCCTTTACGGTTTATGGTGCCTAACATCCTTCCTGGGCGATGGTTGTAGGAAAATGGCCAACGAAACAATGAGGCAATCCACCATCCTTCAGTAGCTGGCCAGCTCTGGACATGCGGAAGAGCATTGACAATATCTGGTTAGAGCTCGCCTGTTCATAAGCATGACCGCTCAAGACTTTCAAGAGGGCGACATGTTTTGTTTCATGAAAGGGCAGCACTGGAAGTCTGGGTTTGATGGACACGGATGTTTCCATTTAAGAGCAACTCCGAAGGTTTGCATTTGACGGTTGTTTGAATGTTGGACCTTGTAACTGTAATCCACTTAAGAGTCTGACCAAGAAAGCACAATCAGCTCTGTGCGTGAATAGACCATCTTGAAACATCCAGCCCAGGGATGTTGACGGGACACATGGGCAAGAATTGGATGAGCAAAGCATGCATAAAAAGACCTATTGTGGATTGAAAGAAACTACATGAACAGAAATCAAGTTCACTAATGTGCGAGGTGAACAGAATGGCTGAAGAGATACCAACTGAAGTGTGACAAATGTGTTAAGATGAAAAAGGAAAGGAACGTAAGGCGGCACTACTGGAGTTTGTGTATCATTCAGTTTGAAAGTCTGCAGCTTGACACGATTGAAATTGATTGGACATGATGAGAACATAGGTCGTGGTGTAAGCTGTTGGGGACATCAGCCCTAATATGGGCCTAACGTGACTATTGAGTCTGAAGTCATGTGGCCATGCAACTCGAAAGGGCTGCTGCTGTGATATTCGCTAATAAGATGAAAGAGAAAAAAGGCATGTTCAGAAGAAACGTCGGCCAGTTCATGACAGGAATATGCTTTCAAAAGTGGCTGAGCGCAATATGCTGCAGGGCAAAAACATCAGTCATGGAAAGCAGTTAAAAAGGGAGAGAAAGGCTGGCAGAATGCTCCGTAGTTCTCCATGAAATTATCAGCCTTGAGAATGGTTGACTGTTGCATCAGTATGCGGCAATCTACAACTTGAAAAAGACCATTCTGGGCTCGTTGAATATAAGATATTGCATACAGGGCGTTACATGTTAAATGACACTAGCCATTGATGGATGGCAGACGTGCTGTTAACATCGCTGTCATGGGCTGGAAGTGTGCCCCTAGTACTGCTCATTTAGGAATAACTTAGGAAAATTTGGTGTACGTCCTGGGCACCTGAACGGCCAGTATGACGTATTGGTGCATTGTGTCACATCCCAATTGCAAGCAAAGAGTACCGGTAGGCAATTTGAAGCATGCCATACACAACGCACTGCCCTGGCAGTGTGCAACATCTGTCATTGACGTGACAAGTCGCCATGTCGCTCGGAGCACTCTGAGCAGGCACCTTGGAGCCCGACTGTGCGCTGCTAGTTTGCGCAACTTGCAGCGAGTCGCCTGAATCGCCGTGGTAGCGTGCGAATGCACAAAACGCTGTCCCTTGGGCAGCGCCTCACGTC